CAGCTGGAGCGTTGGCCATCTCCATGTGCTAAGCATCGCCTCACCCCCAATCTGCTAACGACCAGGTTTGCTTGGCGCCCAGCACAGGCCCTTGGGGATCAGTGCTGTCACTTTCCAAGAGGTTCCCCAAAACGAGGCTTCAGGCCCTGTGGCAAAGTCATCCTCACCCCGAGCTAAATGAGGCTGAGAGGGGAAGAGAGGCCGCAGCGCGCCCACTGGGACAGAACTGGACGCAAAGCCAGGGTCAGAGCAGAGGAGGCCTCCGAGGCTTGTTGGCGGCAGGAAGGAGCGGGCTGGCTCCAGGCGAGGATGGGAAAAGCAGGGACAGTGCCTGTCCCCACAGGGCCATTTACAGCCACAGGTCATGGGTCACGTGTCCTGTCCCTGGAGGCTCTGGGTCGGCAAGGTGGGAAAGCCATCAGAGTGGCTGGAGGGAGCTGAGTGGGGCCAGGCCTGAGGTTGTGCGGGCACTGCAGGGCGGGGCTAGAGTGAGAAGCTTTCTAGGCGCACAGAGACGCAGACCTTCCCCCCCAAAAGCCACAGATGTGTGCAGTCACACACAGAAAGACATACAACAGACACACAGACCCACCCCAAAGCAACTCATACTCAGCAACAACAGCTGCAAATATATACACCGTCACACACACAGACACAAATTCAAGTCACAAATTTGCTATACCATTAACCACTCACACAAAAGCCACAAACGTGTACACCTCACACATACAAAGGACACACATGCACTCAGATACATAAACATGCTCATAGACACACACACACACACACACACACACACACACACACACACACACACAAAGATACCCCCAAAGTCATTCATGCTCGGCAGTCACAGCTGTAAATGTGTACGCACCGTCAGCCTCCCCCCACACACAGCAGCCCCAGCAGCACATCCATCCTGGATCTGGAGCTCGGTCACCGCCTGCCCTGCTGTCTCATGTCCTTGGCCCCAGGCTGCCTAATCCCGGTCTCGTGTCCCGAAGCCAGAAGATAAGGGCAGCTGCAGCCCCAGATAAAGAAGGCGCAGCCACAAATCTGGGACTGCCCCAGCAGAGGTGGGCACCAAGCCCAGCTGCACCTGCCTCGCTGCTGGCAACCCCATCCAGCCTGGCAGAGAGGGACTGGATGGACTACAGGGCAAGGGGGAGACAGAGGAAAGGGGTGGGAAGAGGGAGAGAGAGAGAGATGCAGAAAGACACACACAGAGAAATAACAAAATGTGAAGAGAGATGAGACAAACATGGAGGGAAAGAGAAATGCAGAGAAAGGAAGAGAGCAAGGGACAGAATGAAATACAAAGAGGATCAAAAACACTGGGGCAGAAACAGGAGGAATAACAGAGGCAGGCAGAGAGCACGCTAGGGATTTCCCCAGGCCCCGCACTACCCCTCCTGGGTGCCTCAGTCTCCCCACCCTCTTGCTTTGGAGAATGACCCAAGCCTGGTTCACCTTGTTCAATGTCCCCACACTCTCCAGGGTGACATCTGGAAGGCCTCAGCCCCCCGCCACCACCTCAGTGAAGGTGGGACCCCTAGAGCAGGTCCTACCCCGAGTCTGTCTCCCTAGCCATGGTAAGTTGTGCTCACCCAGGAAGTGTTAATTGAGCACCTACTGTGAGCCAGGCCCTACTGTGTTGGGTGCCAGGGTCACAGGGTGACCACAGTAGACCCAACTTCCATACTCTCCAGGCTCACAGTCCAGTAGGGCAGTGGCCAGGTAGCCTCCAGAGTAATCGAACAGTGATGGGGCGCAAGGGGGACGCTTAGGCAGCTGCAGAGCCTGTGAGGGATGCTGTACCCTCACTGCTGCCGGAGCAGGGGGCCATCAAAGACGCTTCCAGAGGAAAAGGAGGTGAGAAATTTGAGTATAATGAGCAAGGTGACTAGGAGCAGGAAAGACTTCCTGGAAGAACATGTATAAAGACTAGGAGATAAGGCTGGCTCATGGGAAGTCTGAAATAAACTTGATGCTTGAATTTAGGGAGTGAGGAGGTCATAAGGGATGAAGCTGGGGAAGGCAGCAGAGCTGGGTCATATAGGAACCTGGGGGCCATGGTCAGATATGTATTAGAAAGTGCTGTGGGCTCTGGCCAGGTAGCTCCATTGGTTAGAGCATTGTCCCAATATGCCAAGGTTGAGGGTTCAATCTCTGGTCAGGGCACATACCAGTGGCCCGACTGTGTGGCTCAGTGGTTGAGCATCAACCTATGGACCAGGAGTTCACGGGTTTGTTTCTCGGTCAGGGCACATGCCTGGGTTGCGGGCTCTATCACTAGTGCAAGAGACAGCCAATCAGTGATTCTCTCTCATCATTGATGTTTTTCTCTCTCTCTCCCTGAAATTAATAAAAACATTAAAAAAAAAAAAGAAGAAGAAGAAGAAGCAACCAACGATTGCATAAATAAGTGGAACAACAAATTGGTATCTCTTTCTCTCTCTACATATATACTCTGAGTGGCCAGATTATTATGATCTCTGAACGCATAATAATCTGGCCACTCAGTGTGTGTGTGTATGTGTGTGTGTTTATATATATGAGGCCCAGTGCATGAATTCGTGCATGGGTGGGGTCTGGCCAGCCTGGCCAGGGGGAGGAGACATGGGCGGTTGGCCAGCCTGCCTGCTGGCTGAACTCCTGGTGAGGGTACAACTTGCATATTAGCCTTTTATTATATAGGCTATACACTGAGTGGCCAGATTATTATGCATTCAGAGATCATAATAATCTGGCCACTCAGTGCATATCTAAAATCAATGAAGAAATAGAAAGAGCAGTGGGAGGTAGGCTGTTGGGGCAGGATGAGAAGACAGAGGCCTGAAATGGGAGAGGACATGACTGGAGAGGCACCCTGGAGGGAAAGCTGGCAGGAGGCTGTGGGTGGAAGAGAGGCAGTCTGGGGAGACTGATATCCTGGTCTCTGGCTCAGGACAGTGTGGCAGTCCCTGAGCGAGGGACCACTGCAGCCTGTGAGTTCAGGCTGAGGTAGAATACATTTCCAGTTACTCCCACTCACAGAGGGAATAAGTGAGTTAATGCATGAAAAGGGCACACAGTAAATGCCCAATAATGGTTTAGCTACTGGAAAAAAAAAAAAAAGAAAAAAAGAAGAAAAAAGCAATATTATATTGTTAAACAATATAAGTAATAGTGGGTAATTAATATTATGTCATTAATATTAATGCCATGGTTATCAATGGCCAGTCCACAGCCCCCCTCCTACAGGGAACCTTCCTGACACCTCCCCCACCCCAGACCAACTCAGGCAGAGCCATGGAGCCCTGGGAAAGCTCTCTTTGGAGGCCATATTCCTGAGGTCCTGTGCTTGGGCTCAGTTTCCCCATACCAGTCCAATTGTCTTCCCAGACTGGTCATGGGTGCCTGTGGGAGGACGGGGGGACACTACCGGTAGAACCTCAGCCCCCTTGGGAAGGAATGAGCTCCCGCCCCTGGAGGTGGGAAAGAGGGGCTGGGCAAGAAATCTCCCAAGGACTGCAGAAGTTCCTTCCAGTTTTAGGTTCCCCAACTCCACTGCTGTATCCAGATTGTCCTACAGAGGGCAGCCGAGGCCAGCGATGGAAGACCAGCTGCTCCCCTGCCCACTCCATTTTCCCCCAGTTCTGGGAAAAGCTAGTTGTGGCCTCAGGCAAATCCTTTTTATCTCAGGTCCTCGTTCTCTCAGTCCGTTAAGCCGGGTGCACGCTCCCGGAGTCCCTTCTGAGAGCTGTGTTGAATTTAGCAACGAAATGCAAGGGAATGAAGGCACTGGGTTCACATAATTCAGGGCAAATAACAGAAATAAGAACAGTAGACATGAACATTTATTGACTGTTATTTATTAAATCCTTGTCTTCTAACTAAAAGAGATTTTTATTTTAATCAGCCCATTTTTTTTTTTTTTTACTAGGAGGTGGAGGCACAGAGAAATTAAACAACAAAGTTCCCAGCTGGCCAAAACCGGTTTGACTCAGTGGATAGAGCATGGCCTGTAGACTGAAGGATCCCAGCTGATCGATGATTCTCTCATTGATATTTCTAACTCTCTATCCCTCTCTCTTCCTCTCTGTAAAAAAATCAATAAGATATATTAAAAAAAAAAAAAAAAGTTTCCTGCTGATAAGGTAAAGGGCTGGGATTCGACCCTGTAGAAGAGAGTACAGCATCAAGCCTCCGCCAGAAACAGGGAGCTTTAGATGGGGCACAGCAGGGCAAGAAGGGGGAGAGGGGGGCCAGGCTGTCACAGAGTGATGGATTCTGCCTTCCTTGCTGACAGCCCTTCCACTTCTCTCGGGGTAAAAGCCAAGCCCCCCCCCAGCAGGCCTCAAGACCCTGCACAGCCGCTCCCTGCCCTCCCCTCCTCCCCGTCTGCACCTCGCTCACTGGGGCCCAGACAGTAGGGCTAGCCGTTTCTCCAACACCCCAGGCGGGTCGGACCTCAGGGCTTTGCATTGGCTGTTCCCTGCATCTGAAACACTTAAAAAAAACAAAAACAAAACAAAACCAACAAGAGCCGAAACCGGTTTGGCTCAGTGGATAGAGCGTCAATCTGCGGACTGAAAGGTCCCAAGTTCGATTCTGGTCAAGGGCATGTACCTTGGTTGTGGGCACATTCCCAGTAGGGGGTGTGCAAGAGGCAGCTGGTCAATGTTTCGCTCTCATCTACCTTTCTAGCTCTCTATCCCTCTCCCATCCTCTCTGTGGAAAATCAATAAAAATTAAAAAAAAAAAAAAAAAAAGCAAGAAAACAAAACACTCCTGTGGGCAAAACGCTGTCCGCAGGAGGGCAGTTTGCGAGCTCCTAACATTTCCCAGGTGCTCTCCCAGAGGCCCCGCCCCCACGCACTCCCCGCCCCCGTTACGTCGATGTGCGTACAATGGCGTCTCTTGCAGCGACCGGGGCATGCGCACTTCCCAGCACGAGCGGCCAGGACACACGCGCGACCCGGAAGGCCTCGCTATACTCCAAAGAGAGAAGGGGGCGGATGGCGGAGGGTGCAGCGGAGGCCCCAGCAGAGAATGGTGGCGGTGGCGGTGGCGGTGGCGACGGCGACTTAGGAGCCGGCGCGCTGGAACGGGGAGTGGCGCCCATTAAACCTCGGTGAGTCGCTAGGACTGACAGAATACCTCACGGGGCCTTCCGGGACCCGTAGGGCGGCTCGAGTGGTGCATGCCGGGAGGAGGGCAGCCGGGCGGGAAGTTCGCAGGCGGCTTCAGTCTGGGCTGTGCCCCGCGGCAGTACCTGAGAAAGTGCTCGTTCGGGGCTGTCACTGACTCCAAGGCCGCGGGCGTGCTGGCGTGGGCGGGGTTAGGCGAGGGCCGCCATGCAGGCTGGGGATTGTAGTTCCAGCGCATGTCGAGAAAGAAGCATGTGCATCTCCAGGCAGACATAATTACTTAGGCTGAGTTTTTCCTTTTTTAAATATATTTTTATTAATTTCAGAGAGGAAGGTAGAGAGAAACATCAGTGATGAGAGGAAATCATCGTTTGGCTGCCTCCTGGATGCTCCCTTTGGGGGATCGAGCCCATACACCTCCAACCGGCACTCGAACCTGTGACCTCCTGGTTCATAGGTCCATGCTCAACCACTGAGCCACCCTGCTGGGCCTGAAATTTATGTTTGAAGAGATTCGAAGGGGCAGGCTGGGGCTTGTAGGGCTGAATGGTATACTAGGAAGCGTGGCAGCTGTGGTCCCCGTTGTAAGGCATGTTGGGACATGTAGTTTATTTTAAGCCTAATATGGTCTAGGACGTTCTTGCCTGATACCTGTAATTTGGCTTAACTCTAGGCTGGGGGGACCCAGAAACAAAACAGGGCATTCCTGTAGCCTTGAGGTGCTCGCAGGCTGGCAAATATCCAGTTTTAAATAGTGAGTTCCCATCAGCAGAGCATGGAAGCAGAGACAAATGTTCTCAGCCCGTTTCTCCAGTTTTCGTTGAGTGGATCTCTGGGAGGGTGGGGGGGTCCCTCGTCAAGCCCTCCTTTTCCTCCTCCTCCGGTGGCAGATACCTCACCACCAAGGAGCAGTTCCACGAATTCCTGGAAGCTGGAGGGCAGGAGAAGCCCAGCCAGGAAACCAAGGGAGGAAACCATTATGACCTTGACCTGACTGAGCCTGAAGCCAAGCGGATCCGACTGGAGGATGGACAGGCAGGAGAGGGCGCCGCGGAGGAGGCAGCTGAGCACCTGGAGCAGCCTCAGGCTCAGAAGAGAGCTCGGGGTCAGAACAAGGGCAGGCCTCACATAAAACCCACCCACTATGACAAGAACAGGCTCTGTCCCTCCGTTGTGCAGGTTAGTGTCGTTGTCACCATAAAGTCCCAGAAGCCTTCAGTTTGAACCTCTGTCCCTCCTTCAATCCTCATGGTGTTATAATGTAAAGTCATATCCCATTTCCCAGATAAAGAAACTGAGGCACAGTGAGGTTACTGACTAGCCAATGACACAGCCAGGAGGAGAAGGATCTTTGGTTCAAAGCGAGGCTGCCCCAGCCCCTGCCTGCCCTCCTTCACTGCCCACCCCCCCTTCCCTGCAGGGATCAGCTGCAAAGTGCTTTTTTGGTGATCGCTGTCGTTTCCTACACGATGTGAGGTGGTACCTGGAGACGAAGCCACCTGACCTGGGCCCCCGCTGTGTGCTGTTCGAGAACTACGGCAGGTGCCCCTATGGTGTGACCTGCCGCTTCGCCGGGGCCCATCTGGGGCCTGAGGGCCAGAACCTGGTGAGAGAGGAGGTGGTCCCGGCCCCTCCCGTCCGCAACAGCTTGGACAAAGCTCTGCAGCAGCAGCTGCGAAAGCGCAAGGTCCATTTTGAGCGTGCCGAGCAGGCCCTGCACCAGCTAGGCAAGAGCCACCTGCCAAGCCCCACCCCTTCTGCCACTGTCCCTGAGGTCTCAGGGGCTGAGAGTGCCCCAGGGCAGGACGACTGTGATGCCCAGCAGCCCCCCCTGGCGCCCTGCACTGGCACCCCTCCCAGCAGCCCCGTGCAGACCTGCGGGCCCCTGACGGATGAGGACATAGTCAGGCTTCGGTCTTGTGAGAAGAGGCAGGTACGTGCCACGGGCTTCCGGTTGAGGACACCAGTAATGGGGAGCAGAAAGAGCTGGACGTACCTCCCAGCCGCAGAGAGTCAGGGCTGAAGCACAGGAACGCAGTGGGGAGGCTTCATTTGGGACTGGGGTTTTGACAGTTGATGAAATTATCCAGAAGAGAGCATGGAGAAAAGACCATTTCTCATTGATGGACTGGTTGACATATGCAGAGATTAAGAGGTAAAAGAGTGCTAGGCCCGTGGGGCAAAGCTAAGCATGTCCTAGATTGTGGGGAGAAGTGGGGGGGGGGCCTCAAAATCCAGAATGGAGGATGGAGCCTCACTGCGTGTTTTCTTTCCTTCCAGCTTGACATCGGTGGCAAACTGTACCTGGCCCCCCTTACCACGGTAGGACCCATGTGGGCAGGCTGGGTGGTGGCAGTGTGGTCGCTCCAACAGTGCCCAGTGCCTGCCAGTCTTGAGGATTCCTGTTGAGGATACTAGCAGTGGAGCAGGGGCAGGAGTTTGGGGTCCCTGCTTGTCACACCCTTACCTGTTTGTGACCCCCAACACCAGTGTGGGAACCTGCCTTTCCGGCGAATCTGCAAGCGCTTCGGGGCTGACGTGACGTGTGGGGAGATGGCTGTCTGCACCAACTTGCTGCAGGGCCAGTCGTCCGAGTGGGCCCTGCTCAAACGCCACCAGTGCGAGGACATCTTTGGTGTCCAGGTTGGTGCTGCCACCAGGGAGGAGGGGCTTTCAGCTGCCAAGATTTGGGGCAAGGCTCCGGGTCCGCTCTCCTGGGTCCCAGGCCCAGCTCAGTCACTTCCCAGGTCCTCTCCTCAGCCACGGCTGGGGCGCCAGCCTGATGCATCTCCAAGGGCCGATGCCTTGGGATGGGGCCGGGTGGCGCCAGGCAGGGAGGTCTGAACTGGCCCTTGCCCCTCACCCTTTGCCCCAACACCTGCCGTAGCTGGAGGGTGCTTTCCCGGACACCATGACCAAGTGTGCAGAGCTGCTGAACCGCACCATCGACGTGGATTTCGTGGACATCAACGTTGGCTGCCCCATCGACCTTGTGTACAAGAAGGTAGCGACCATTCAGCCCTGGATCCCCAGAGCCGGCAGATTGTAGATAAGGGCCACCCAGCCTCACTCCTGCCTGAGTCTTTGGGAACCTATGGGGTCCTTGTGCCTCGGTTTCCCTTCTCACAGCAAGGGCAGTGGAGGGTGCTGGGCTTGGCTTGGGTCTTGCCCTCTTTGCTCCAACCGCCCATCTCTCCCAGGGTGGGGGCTGCGCCCTCATGAACCGCTCGGCCAAGTTCCAGCAGATCGTGCGTGGCATGGACCAGGTATGCCCGGGGACGGCCCCACCTTCCCCACCCGACCCTGGGCCCTGCTCACACGCTCATCCCCCAGGTGCTGGACGTGCCGCTGACCGTGAAGATCCGCACGGGTGTGCAGGAGCGCGTGAACCTGGCACACAGGCTGCTGCCCAAGCTGCGGGAATGGGGGGCAGCCCTGGTCACGGTGGGTCTCGGGGTGCAGCGGGTATCAGGCCTTGGGGGCACTCCAGCAACCCTTTCTAATGGTCTCTCTCCCCCACCTCCCTCTTCATCTCTGCTCTCCCTGCGTCTGTCTGTCTCTCTGTCTGTCTCAGCCTGGGTCTCTCTCTCTCTCCTCTCTCTGATGTTCCGCCTCCCGATGGACCTTCCCTCCCGCCCTGTGTGGCCACTCCTCTAGCTGCATGGCCGCTCTCGGGAGCAGCGCTACACCAAGCTGGCCGACTGGCAGTACATCAGGCAGTGCGTGGCGGCAGCCAGCCCCATGCCCCTGTTCGGTGGGTCCCCAACCCTCCCGAGACCCTTCCCTGCCCCCTGGGGGCTGCTGGGCTGGCAAGAACTCCCCAGGAGCTGGCTTTCCTGCCTGTAGGCAGCTCCCTGAGGCCCGGTCTCTGCCCCTCAGGAAACGGGGACATCTTGTCCTACGAGGACGCTCACTGCGCCATGCAGACCGGTGTCACTGGAATCATGATTGCGCGGTAGGAGGGCCCGGTGCGGGGCTTGTCTGAGCTTTGTCCCTTTTGTCACAGCCCAACCGCGTGGCCTCCTGGTCCATTCATCCCAGCGTGCGGCCCTGTCTGAGCAGAGAGATGGCAGGGCTGCAGCTGGCAGGGGCCAGAAATTCCTGCAGCTGTTGGCTTAGGGTGCGGGTTGGTACTCTTTAAGGCTTCAAGGCTTCTAGAACAGCTGGAGAGTCTGTCTGCACAGCTAGAGGGACAGGCACTGTGGGCTTGGGGCCTCTGACCACTGCCCGCCCCGCAGTGGCGCCCTGCTCAAGCCGTGGCTGTTCACGGAGATCAAGGAGCAGCGACACTGGGACATTTCCTCCGCCGAGCGCCTGGACATCTTGCGGGACTTCACGCACTACGGCCTGGAACACTGGGGCTCGGACACGCAGGGCGTGGAGAAGACCCGCCGCTTCCTCCTCGAGTGGCTCTCCTTCCTGTGCAGGTGGGCGTAGGGCCGCCGCGGGGGCGGGGGCGGGGGCGGGAGAGGCCAGCCTGGCCCAACCCTGCCCCCTCCTGCCTGCAGGTATGTGCCTGTGGGCCTGCTGGAGCGGCTCCCACAGAGGATCAACGAGCGGCCCCCCTACTACCTGGGCCGAGACTACCTGGAGACACTCATGGCCAGTCAGAGGGCCGCCGACTGGATCCGGATCAGGTGCCTGGGCGCCGGAGAGCCGGGGTGGGGGCATCCTGTGGGGGGTGGCCCAGCCTGACCTGCCCTCCGCCTGCCCTCACAGTGAGATGCTGCTGGGACCTGTGCCGTCCAATTTCGTCTTCGTGCCGAAACACAAGGCCAATGCATACAAGTAGCTGCAGGGGCGGGAGGGGCATCGGAGGGTCCCTGTCGCGTGTGAGAAGGCAATAAACTTCTTTCTTTTAAAACTCGGGCCTTTCTGTGACCCCCAGGCTGCCCCTCCCACTCCCGGGAGCTCTCCCCGGACACCTGCCCATCCCCGTCCCCGGCAGCTCCCATCCTTCCTCCCTCATTCACCAAAGTCGCCCAGCAGGCTGCTGCTGATGCCCAGAGGGGCCACTGGGGCTTATGTGGGGGGGACCGTGAAGGGGGACCCTTGGCCTGTGGGGCTGTGGATCAGGACGGGCTGCCTGGAGGAAGGGGCCTCGGAGCTATTGGATGGCATTTGCCGGTAAAGGCAGAAGGCAGTGTCCTAGGCCCAGGATTTGCCCCACACTGTGACACATGTCTGTGGCTGCCTTGGTTTCCCCTTCTATCCCTGTCCACCCCCCCCCCCCCAATACCCGGAACCCTGACCAGTGGACTGGAACCTGCTGCCCGCAGTAACCAGGCAAACAGAACTCCGCATGCCCTCTGAGCCTGTTCTCTGGGTGGGCTGCCTGTGCTCCCACCTGCCACCCTCTGGGCCTGCCCAGGCTGGGCCCCGCCCCCCATGCAGCACCCGAAGCCCTTCTACACTCCGGCAGCCCCCCAAGAAGGTTTCAGCCCTCGGGGCCTGGATGGCACCGAGGGGCCAGGCAGCCAGCCCACTCCCGCCTGCACAGAGCCTCTTCCCGCTGTGGGTACGCATCCGGGAGCGGTGGGGGCGGGGCTGACAGGGCTGGGGCCTGGGCTCTGCCCCCCAGCTTCAGGACCCCACTACCCTCTGCCTTTGTTCACAGGTTCCTCCAACCTGTATCACCCCCCAAACCTGGAGAAGGAGGTGTTTCCAGGCCCTCCAGCAGGTACTGGCCTCCTCCCAATCCCGATTGCACCCTGGGCTGGGTTGGAGGAGGCAGCCTTCTTGCCTCCACCCTGGCCTCCAAGGCTCCCCAAAGCAAGGTTCATGCCTGTTTCCCAAAGGGTCCCCAGGCTGAGGTCTGTGTGCCCCAACTAGACAAGGCCTGGGGGGTCCCTCAAGCCCGGGCTCATGGTCACAGGCCCCGAGTTTAGGGCCCCCCCTCCCCCGCAGGCGGGTGGTAGCCCTGCCCTCTCAGGGCCACCCTCCTGGGCCCGCAGGTTTCCAGATGGCGCCCTGCGGCTGCTTCTTTGACCCCCGCATTTACCGAATCGAGTGGGCCACCACCGACTTCGGCCAGTCGTCCCTGTACAAGCTGGCAGCAGCGGGCGGTGGGGTGCCAGCCGGGGGCCCCAATTCACCCAGCACCTACCTCCTCGAGCCCCAGCACTATCTCAAGGCCCCGGTGCCGCCTCCGCCATACCCCCATTTCCAGCCAGTGCCCGGGGGCCCCCAGTACCTCATGCCCTACTTCCCCCCCGAGGGGCCCGGGCCTGAGGCCCTGAGCTTTATGGGGGATGGAGGGGCCCCCGCCTTTGTGGAGCTGCCCCCGCCCCTGCTCAAGGAAGGCCTGGTGCCCCTGCCGCCGCCGCCGCCGCCGGCCAAGGAAAACAAGCTGCCGCCCGTTCTCACGCTGCCCCCCGAGGCCGCGCCGCCCCCCGGGGGCTACGGCCACCTCAAGGGGCGCCTGAGCCAGTTCCACATGCCCGGGGAGCCCCTCGTCTTTCCCGCCAAGGAGCTGCAGGGCAGTGGCACTGGGCCGGGCCCGCTGTACCCCCCAGGCCCCGGGGGCCCCAAGGCTGCCCCAGCAGAGGCAGCCCCGCTGGAGGCAGGGGAGACCAGGTCCCCCGAGGCCGCCAGGGCCTTCGTGCTGCCTGAGAAGGTGCTGCTGGAAGACGCCATGAAGCTCTTCGACTGCCTGCCGGGGGGCGCCGAGCCCGAGGGGTCCCTGCGCAAGGCCCCGGGGCCAGCCCTGCCGGACAGCAGGGGCGGCGGGGACGACTCCTCCAGCGACATCCGCTCGCTGCACCTGCCGGATGAGCTGCTGTCCTTCGACTACAGCGTGCCCGAGATCCTGGACACCGTGTCCAACGTGGACTACTTTTTCAACTTCAAGGCGCTCGACGACGAGCCACCACCCTGCCCAGGGCCCCCCGCCACCCCCATTGCGGCCCCTGCACTTCGGGCCGAGCCTCCCAGCAAGAGAAAGTCCGGTGCCTCAGCCACCAAAAAGGGGAGACAAGGAGGCAAGAGTAAGCAGGCCGTGAGCCTGGCCAGCGCCCCATCCCCCGGGACCCAGGCAGGGCCTGGGAGCCACCCCCCATTAAAGCGGATTTGATCTCAGCCCAATGTCTGCTCAGTGGCGATGGGGGCAGTGGGCCAGGGGCGGACCTGGAGGGCTTCCCGCTCACCTGCTCCAATGCCAGTGGCCCCGAACCTGGAGGGGAGGCCCTGCAGGACCCCGCGCCTCCCAGTGCCAGGCTCCCAGACTGAGCGAGGAGCCCTGGGCTCGAGATTCTAAAGCCCTTTTGTCCAGGCCCCGGAGAAGGAAGGGGGCTTTGCCACCCAGATGCCTGCGCTGTAAGGAGTCCTCCCCTCCATGTTTGGTGAGGAAAGTCCAGGCTGCTCAGATGGGCAGGAACCTGCCTGGAGGGAGACACAGAGCAAGCAGGCCGGGCCCCAGCCCTGCCCCCTTCTGTCCCTGTGAAGCCAGTCCGTGGAGGGAACCTTTGAGGGGTTTCTGCTGGGCTCCGCCTCAGCCACCTCCCAGGCGGGGGGTGAGAGGCATGGGAAGGGCCCGGGGTGCCTGTGAAGGACCCCACGCTGTCCAGGCCGACATGTGGAGGCAAGTGCTAGATGGAGGTGAAGGCACCTGGTGGTCGGAGGGTGGCGGCTGGGCAGGGAGGTGGGAGGTGGCACCCCAAAATAAGCCACGTGTCATGGGGACCAACAGAGTGCACCCGGGTGACAGCCAGAGACCAGGTGGGCGAGTCTGTCCCGGGAAGGCAGCCAGCCAGGCCTCGTATGCTGGGCGCCCCCATTGGGTCCCACTCAGGTTCTATATCCCAAGCAGCAGGCACGGGAGAGTCCCGAGTTTGGGTGTCCATACCTCACCCTGCTCCCTCCCGCCCTGTCTCTCCTCGGGCCCATGCAGCTCCTCCCCTGTCTGGTCCAGGCTCTCCTCAGCCTTTCCAGGGGCAGCTGCCAGCCACAGCCGCCGCCTCCGAAACCCTCGAGGTGAGCCTGAAGGGGCCAACTTGGTTTTCCAGGTAACATTATAAGGCAAGCATGTCAAACTCAAAGGCTAACACGGGCCAAATAAGTAAGTTTCTGTGGGCCACAAAAACAAAACAAAACAATTTTCATAGAAATGTAGGTTTATTTCGAGAGACATGCTGAATACAAACGGCTGAAATAAATGAGAAATCATTAACGTTAGAAAACATTTTAATAAAAATTAATATTTTTTCTTGAACATTAACTTACCAGACACTGAATAGCCACAAATAAATAAGCGTAATGTAAACCTATTTTTTTTGTTCTCCAAAAGTGAAACATTTCCTGTTGCGCACACCAAACAACTCAGTACAAAACTAATGACGTGGCCATCGGCTGCTAAAATATTCGCTGCTGGTATTAGGGGAGAGAAATGGTGCGCCTGCGCGTAAGGCATGTAAAGGGAAATGAATGCAACACGATTATAGTGATCAGTCATTAGTGGATGTTGTAGTTCATTATTAATGATGCATAACAGAATGTTGTAAAGATTAAGTCATGAAATCTTTATTAAAAGGTTTCTTGCATGCCGTTATATTGGCTGGGCTGCAGAGATATTCCTTGTGGGCCACGAGTTTGACATGCTTGATAGAGGGATCGGGAAGCAAAGGGAGTTGGAGGCCTGCTGGGCTGGGTGGTGGTGGACAGGGGCTTGACTGGAATCAGGAAGTGGCCAGGTCCAGGGAGGGCAGATGGGGAGCTGAAACCTGGTGCCTCTCCCGCGCTCAGCACCACACCTGCCTATTCCTGCCATAGGTGCTATGGGCCTACATGGCTCATCTCCCTGAACCCTATTGCAAAGCTCAGCGAAATGGAAACAGTTATGCCCTGGCTTGTTTGGCTCAGTGGATAGAGTGTCAGCCTGTGGACTAAAGGGTCCCAGGTTCGATTCCAGTCAAGGCATATGCCTGAGTCCCGGGCTCCATTCCCAGTGGGGGGCGTGCAGGAAGCAGCCGATCAATGTTTCTCTCTCATCATTGATATCTTCTCTCCCTCTCCCTTTCTCTCTGAGATTAAAATATGTGTATACACATTTTACAAAGGAAGAAGTGGAGACAGCTATGCCATGTGGGCACTGTCCCCTCCACCCCTGGACCTGCACAGGTACTGGCATCATTTACGTTTGTCCCCACGGTGTCAGTCCCATCTCTGTTCTGAACCGAACATGAGCCTAGAGGAGTCCGGAGCCCACTTCCCTGGGCTTCCTCCCGAGCCCTGAGGTAGCATGTGGGGTGTTTTGGCATGAAAATCAAGTGTCCCTGACGAAGGGAAGGCCCTGGCAAAGGAGGTGGTGGATGATGAGCTTGTTTTTCTGATGTGAATGCAAACCAGGGACAGGAATCCAGTGTCACTGACGACCAAACATCCCCTCCAGAGAGGCTGCAGGGGTAGGTGGTGGGGCCATCTGGCCAGCCCCGGAGGGTGTAAGTGGTTACTTCACTGTGTCTGGCAGTGGAAGTTTCCATGACTGCAGTGGGCAATTTAGAATACCACAAATATATTTTTAACTTAGGAGTAAACAGGAAAAGTCGTGGAACCACCCAAGTTTTCACTGACAATAAGATAGCTGCCCCATGCCACCTGGGTTTATGACAAAGTGGTGCCCTCCCACTGATGGATAGATGGGTGGAAAGAGTATATCTGTACATTTTATGTGTACAGGGTGGGGCAAAATTAGGTATTGCTTTTTTTAATAAAAAATTATACTAGGGCCCAATGTAAGAATTCGTGCACCTTGAAAGGAACTGTGGGCCGCCAGGCTGCAGTGGGCACAGGGGCGGGTCACAGCCCATCCTCTGCGCCCCAGCCAGTCCCTCCTGCCATAGCCCCCAGTGCCCCATCGCCCTGCCACCACTGCTGGTTCCACACACACTGACGGCGCAGAGCCATTGGGGCCAGCGCGCTGGCAGCGGCTGTGAATGCCTGGCAGACCGAGGCACGGGGGAGCAAATCGGCTGCTCCCCTGGATCGCCTTCAGGAGCAGGGGAGGTGGAGAAGCCCTCAGGGGCGATTGGGGCAGGTGCTGGCTGTGGGTGCGAATGCCTGGCGGGGCCGTGGCAGGCGGGAGCAAAGAATTTTCGGTAATCACCAGAGGCTGACCCTGAGGACAGTGACTGATGCTCTGCCTTAGTCTGGCACCCCCGCTCACCTGCTCCACCATCCTGCCACGGCTAATGCCTACCACGCTCCTTGCTCTGCCACCTGCTGCTGTCATAGCGACCAGTTGTTCCACCATTCGGTCTTTTTACATATTAGGGTTTTATATAGAGAGATTATTTTCCATACAAACAACTATAAACCTACTTTTGCCCTACCCTCTTTATGCACACATTATCTACATGTGTGCACAAATGTATACACACATATATGTTATTTGCACACTTTATACATGTGTGTACATATATGTATACGTGACTGCACACGTCGCACAAATGTGTGCGTGTTCTGTATACATGTGTGTATGTGCACGCACGTGTATGTATTATCTGCATGCAGGCATATGTTTGCACACGTATATGCACACACACAACCCATACATGTGCATATAAATATGCACATATGCATGTATGTTTCTATATTTGTGGATATATATGCATGTAGATATTATCTATACACACGTAATGTGTGCATATGTATGCACATGCATGTATTTACATCACCTATAGGTATATACCCATGCTTATGTATATACATAGCCATAATAATATATATGTAAACATGTATGCTTACCTCTCGACACACATATATACTTGTGTATACATATTACACAGACATGCATATGTATACCTATTATATATACCTATGCATGCATGTATACACTTATCCCTATATATAATACGTGTGTGTATAGATATGCATGTATACATGTGTGCACACAACCTACAAGCATATGTATAAATAACATCCATTCTTTAAAATTGTATACATGTTCATACAAAGCATGGCTATTTATGTCTGTACATGTGTTAGGGTTTATAAACACAGATACGTAATTTCATCAATCAGTGTATGGACTCCGCTGCTTTTTCCTGGGTCTTAACCTTCTCTAACAGAACATGTCACTGTCTCACCCTCTGCTGAGGCCCGTCTGTCACTTCACGTGTGCTTGCTGGTCTGCATCACCCACGCCTCTCTCTTAGTGCCTGGGTCGCCCCCTCCTGACTGTTACAGCCGATGGAGGTGCTGCCATCTAGAGGAACCCCAACAGCAGCATATTGAGGAAGGCGGTGCAAGTAGGTGTCAGCAAACCACCACCCATGACTGATGCTCACGCCACCCGCTTGTTTTGTATGCATTTTATTATGACAATTCTGAGCCTCCAGTGCACGCTTAGTGCCTACATTGGAAATATTCACAAGACCTTCTGCACCTGTTGCACAGACTGACCCAGTACCCTCTCAGCCTGCGGCCCTCCTCCGGGTGCAGCTGTTTGGGGATCATGTAGGCCAGCCACACAGACAGCAGGATGGAAGCCATGAGCAGGAAAATGGTGATCTCAGGCCAGAAGAAGGGCAGTGGGAAGGCCCCGTACACGTAGACGCTGAAGATGGTTGTCAGGTGACAGTAGCTGAAAGGGGTGGGTGGGGAGAGACCATGGGGCACTGCCTTCAGGGGCCTTGCGTTTACCCAGAAAACACTGAGATGAGGGCTCTGGACTGGCACCAGGACGGCAAGTCCCATATATATCCACTCAACTTTATCCATCTACCTCTTGTGTATTTTGGCAGCGGGCATGTCAGGACCCCTGGAGTCCCCTGCTCCATGTCCAGGTTCCATCACAGCGTGGAAGCAGAGAGGGGGGCAGGACGACAGCCACAGGCATCCATGAGGCTGGCGGCCAGCAGGATGGGCAGGAAGGGCGCCCCAGGAGGGGGCCCAGGGGATGGGAGAACTCGCTGAGGGCTCTAATGGAAGCAGGTGGTGGAGGAGGAGGTGACACATCTCACAGGTAGCCACCTCTCCCCTCTGGGTGTCCCCACCCCTATACCTTTAGCCCAGTGTCATCTCAGAGCTAGTTCCTCTGGTCCAGGGTGTGGGGCCTCTAGGGAAGTCAGGGACTCCACATGCTTTGGAGGGTGGAGTTTGTACCAGTCTTAAAGGGATAGATGATGGAGAGAATGGGCCTCCATAATCCCTTTCTTAGTGGGAGACACAGATGATCCAGATAAGCACACCAGATATGACTTAGGAGGTTCTCAGGCCTCATGGGTGGTTAAGTGTTCAACCACCAGCTTTGGGGTGGGAGAGTGCTGGTTGATAGTGTGTGCTGATTCCCCTGGTGTAAATACTCCCACCGTGGCCAATTCCAAGTCCACTGGCTTACAGTACCCCCAAACATTTCTGAGTTGGCTCCTTCACATCACCAGATGTGGCATGAGAGGGCGACTCGCCCCTGTTGGAAGAATGGGTCTCCCACACGCATGAAGTGCCCAGCCATTCCCAGAGGCCCCGGGCACAGGGTGGCTCCCCCCACCCCCGCCCTACCCACCTGTAGTATGGATCCACGATAGAAATGAGGAAGACATAGATGCCATTTCTTTGTTCGAAAATTATCTTGTTGTCTGTTGGACCTCCCATGATCTGATATGGGACATTTGGCCATCGCAAGGGAGAGTCTTTGATGTATTGGTGGCAGCTCATGTAGTTCTGGGAGGAGAACAGGGGGTGCCCACTGGCCTGCTAGCACCACAGCCAGGCCCCCCTCGCTCCCCAACCACGCAGGGTGCAGGCCAGGCCCCCGTGCTCCCTGGGTGGGCCCTGTGCTCCCGATCCCTATGGAGGCGGCTATGGGCGCCACTCAGCTCCACCCCTCCCTCTGCTCTCCCGGCATTTGTGCAACATTGTGAATGTACAGACAAGTGAGTGTGCTCTAAAACCTCACTGTGTCCTGTGAATTTCACAGCGGTAAAAAGAACCCACACAGCCTCAATCGGTTTGGCTCAGTGGATAGAGTATCGGCCTGCAGACTGAAGGGTCCCAGGTTCGATTCCGGTCAAGGGCATGTACCTTAGTTGTGGGCACATCCTCGTAGGGGGATGTGCCCGCAACCTGATCAATGTCTCTCTCTCATCAATGTTTCTATCCCTCTCCCATCCTCTCAGTAAGAAAAAACAAACCATATATTTAAAACAAACAAAACCCCACACAAGTAAAACCAATGTCACCGACAAAACAGATGACCACATTCACATGACAGGAGCGGGTATAAAGAAAGGAGCCACGCCCTGGCTGGGTGACAGAGTTGGTTGGAGCACTGTCCCATGCACCAAAAGGTTGCAGGTTTGATCCCCAGTCAGGGCATGTAGGATGTAGGGGAGGCAACCAATGGATGTTTCTCACATCAATGTTTCTCTCTCTCTCTCTAAAAAATCATTGAAACAAAACCCATGTCCTCCAGTGAGGATGTTAAAAAGGAGCCAAGAATCCGCAGGCAGGAGTGGGCCCAGGTGTGGGACGCCAGCATCGCCCTCGGTAGCGGTGCTGCGTTGCGCTGTCTGTGTCTCCTGACAGCGACACTGGAGTTGAGGGGCTCCATCGATGGACATTATCAATGTGCATCCCAAAAGGATTGATGCCATTTCTTCTGTTCCCTGACATTGTGTCCATGTGTGTCCATTGTGTACAAACCAATGCGCATGATAGAAATGCTCACTGAGGGGAATGTGGTCAGCCCCTTAGAAAGGGGCATTTGGGTGGTTCTAGAACATGATCAGCAATGCCCACAGCTCTGAATGTTTGGCCGAAGCCCTCGGGAGAGATTCCCAAAGAAGTCCTAGGTCTTACATTGCCATTGTGCTCCCCACCTGCTGTGGACTGAATACTGGTTTCCACCCCCTTAACCCCCTGCAAATTCACATGTTAAAACCCAACCCCCAGGGGGATGGTGCGAGGAGATGGGGACTCTGAGAGGAGATTAGATCCTAAAGATGTGCCCCTATGGAAGGACCTCGCCCTGTGGCCCCGTGAGGCGCAGGGAGAGGACAGTCACTTAGGAACCAAGAGGTGGCCTCTCACTCGGCACCGGGTCTGCAGGACCTTGATCTTGACCTCCAGCCCCCAGGATGGAGAGAGTAAATGTTGCTGTCCATCGCCCGGCTCTGGTATTCTGTGCCAGCAGCCAGACGGACCCAGATAACCCTAACTGGGTGCGTGTGCTCTGTGGTCACCATGGGACTGGTGACCCGTGTGGTGTGGGAAGAACGGGGGAGTGACTGCTACCTCTCGGTCCCAGGCGAAGGGCCGCCCCCTGGCTTTCCTCCGGATGGTGGTCCAGTTCTGCGGCTGGGAGATGCAGATGGCGGAGTCCGCCGTCAGGGAGTACGTGTACGTGAACAGCCCGTTCACCTCCAGCATGACGTACTCGGCATTCACAACCTCCTGGAACTTTCCTTCCCGCCACCTAGGATGCACGCACAGAGCGCTGGGGGCGCGCAGGGAGGAGGCAGCCCGGGGATTAGGAGACCCTTCTGGGGGCGTGCGAGCAGCAGGCAGAGAGGAGCCCCTCCCCTGACATTCGTGGATGGTCACCAGGTGGACGCAGCAGAGGCAGGTAGGACAGGGGGAAGGGGGCAGGCACTGAGGAGTTCCATGGGGTCTCTGGGGAGGAGACAAATGACAGAGCCTGGGAGAAACGACTGTGATGTCACTTGTTAGAGGCATCGATTAATTAATAATAAGCCATGAGTGACACCCTTCACACCAGCCCCCTGAGAGTCTCCTGCCCGCATCTGCCAGTGTGCAGCAGGCAGCCATCTGGGCTGGGAATGAGGGCTGTGCTAAGCTGCCGTGGCTGCCGCTGGCGTGGAGCTTACCTCCTCCAACCAGACCCTCCCTGCCCCCACTCCGCTCTCACATCCCTCGTGGCAGCTCTGAGTCCAGGCTGATCCCTAGGCCCGGGCTCAGGCTGTGTGTCCGGCAGGGGCGTTACCGGGGCGTGGACTGGGACCAGGTGGAACGAAGACGCGATGGGCTAACGAGCCCCAGGCTTACAGGTGCGCGTTCCGTCTGGGACCGCCTCGCAGTCCGGGATGTGCCCCAGGTGTGCTCCTTTCAATTAGCTCCCACCCAGCAGCGGGCATGCCCAGTGCCCGGGCTGCGTGCCCAGTGCCCAGGGGCCACTGCAGCTCCCGGCTGCCCACCTGGTGGCCCAGGGTGATGGGCATTTCCACCACCGCAAAGTCCTGGCCAGCCCCCGGGTCTGTGCTGAAGTGACCTTACCGGACCATCCATCACCCGTAAAAATGTAGACATGACACGGAAGTGTGTCCCCCCAAGTTCTGATGTTGGAGCCCTAACCCCCAGGTGACTCTGGAGGTGGGCCCTGACCCGTGGAAGAGGAGACGAGGAGCTCACTGGCTCCCGCCGCCTGAGGACACACGGGGAGGCCGTGGGCGCAGGAGCCTCGGGGAACCCGCCCTGCCGACGCCTTGTTCTTGGACTTCGAGCCCCAGGACTGCAAGAGTCACGTCTGACGTCTAAGCCCCCCAGTCCCTGGAATGTTGTCATGGCTGAGGGAGGTAAAACGGTAGGTGCACAGGGGCTGTCTGAGCTGAGAGCTAAGGAGGAAAGGCAAGAACGGGGTAGGGAGAGGGCACAGGTGGGCACAGGGCCTGTGGGGCTGGAGGGGTCAGGAGATAGGAGGGGCTGGAGGAGCGCTGGAGGGGCCGGGGGTAGGGAGGATGGGAATGGGGACAGGAGAGGCGGGTGTGTGTGTGTGTGTGTGTGTGTGTGTGTGTGTGTGTGTGTAGAGACAGGGTGAAGAGGGCTGAGGGGAGACTGAGCTTTATCCAAGGGCGATGGGGGCACCTGAAGGGCCAGGCGGGGCGGAGAGCGGGGAGCAGGGAGCTTACAGTTCCACCACGGGCTTCCAGGGCCTGTCGTAGTGGAGAAGGAGGGGACAGCCCAGCTTCTCGTAAGGGTAGTGCACCAGCAGGTCCTTGGTGGCCCTCTGGCCCAGGAAGCTGCGGTCGTAGGCTTCCCTGAGCAGAGAGGGGGCAGGGGTGAGGTCCCTCCGGGCAGCCCCAATGCTCCCACCCCTCCTCCCGGCTCAGCTGCTTCCAGTGGAGGGGAATCTGAGGAGGGGGTCAGGGTTAACTCTGGGTCCGCTTGGCTGTGCCCCAGAACCTGGAGTGTGGTCAGACGTTATTCTGATGTTTCCATGACAGTGCTTTTGGGAACGAAATTAGCATTTCAATCAGTTGGACCCAGTAAAGTGCCCTCCCCAATGCAGGTGCATTCAAAGGCCTCAATAGAAACAACGTGTGCCTTCTCTCCCGCCCCCTCCCTCCCTCGCTGTCTCTGTTTCTCTGTGTCTCACACAGCCTGTTGCTCCTCTTTCCGTGGAGACCCCTGACTCACATTCCTTTGTGCCTCACGAGGTCTGACTGTAGCCACACTGGTCAGTAAGTCCAATTTGGGACTTGTTTGGGCCTTGGCTGTGGCCCTGGACAGCTGACCGACTTTGGGCGTGTATCCAAGGCCATGACTTCTCACAGCGGGGGACCTGCACGTGCACAGAGGGGCTCCCCGAGCCTGGGGCTAAGAAGGCTGAACCCCTTCCATGCCCGCTTAGGGGTGCACCTTGGCTCGCCACCCCCTCCTGCTTTGGCTGACGGTGTCTGGCCAACTCTCCGAGCTCAGAAGAACAGGTGGCTGGGCGCCCTGAGCCGGTAGCGGCCGGGCAGGGTCTGTAAGATGGGGGTGGTCACAGGAGGGAGGGGTAAAGGAAAAGCTCTGGCTCACTTCTCGATGACGTAGCTGTAATTGTCCTGAAGGGCCACAGGGTCAAGGTAACCTTTGTAACAGGCTGAGATTTCCCTGAAAGCAACAAAAGGGGGTGAGGAGCTGCGGACCCGCCCAGAACCGAAGCAGCAGGGATTCTTCCCTTTGACATGTAAGCCCCATCGGTTTGATAGTCAAGTCCTTTCTTTCTGGTTCTCCTAGAAGTTCCAGGCCTATCTCACCTGAGGATATTTTTCCATTGATTTTTACAGAGAGTGGCCCAGAGGGAGAGGACAGGGGCGACAGGTGGGGGTGGGAGAGAAACACTGGTGAGAGACACCTTTATTGGTTGCCTCCTTCATGGGCCTACGATCGAACTTCTCAGCCCCGTGTCAGGCTCTCGTCAGCCTTCCTGGTTAGACGTGCCTTTGCCCATTTTTGTCTGTTCATTTCTCTCTCTCTCTCTCTAATTTATTGGTTTTCAGGCAGAGGAAGGGAACAAGAGAGAAAGAAACACGGATTTGCTGTCCCACTTACTTGTGTGTTCATTGGGTGTTTCTTGTATGTGTCCCGACCAGGATCGAACCCACAACCTTGGCATATCAGGACCATGCTCTAACTACCCTGCCAGGGCTTTCTCTCTCCCTTTTTAAATTGATTTGTAAGAATCCTTTATAAATTCTGGCTACAAGTCCTTTGCTGGTTACATTTGTGGCAAATATCTCCCCACTCTCTAAGGCAAAAGTTTTTAAATATTGTGCTAAGAACATTTCCTGCACACGTGTTCTAAATAAGCAATTTACTGCTTCAATAAAGCGTTTCCATGGGAGGGTCAGCACCTGAGTGTGTAATTGCCTTGTGCAGGGAGCACTCAAGTCTGGTTCTGATGGGTCTTGGAGCCAATTGCAAAGTGTGGACGACTCATGGGGCAGCAAATGCCAGTGCCCTGGGAGTATTTACACCAGAGGGGTTGGCAGATTAGGTTGACCCTGCCTGAAGGGCAAAGGGCTGGTAATTTGGCTGATCTTCAGACTTTGTTGTGTTTTTTTTTTTTTTAGATTATATTTTTTATTGATTTCAGAGAGGCAAGGAGAGGGAAGGAGATATAGAAACATCAATGATGAGAGAGCTATTGATTGACTGCCTCCTGCACGCTCCCCACTGGTGATGGAACCTGCATCCTCAGCACGTGCCCTGACCTGGAATCGTACCACGACCCCCTGGTTCTAGGTTGATGCTCAATCACTGAGCCATGCTGGCCAGGCCAGACTTTATTGTGAGAGGGCAGGGTGGGGCGAGGATGGGCTCCTGACTCCACTGCGGGGCAGGGCGGAGTTATCCTCCATTCTGTAACTGAACCCTAGCCCTCACCCAACCAATCAGGGTTAGCCGAGGCAGTGACATCACCACCGACCTGAGTAAAACCCCTGGACTGGGCGAAGTTCGCTCTCTTCCGCCATGCTGCTGGCGTGAGTGGGAGGAGCCCATGCTAGCATGGAGAAGGCTCTTTTGTTTATTGCATCGGACTCGGCTCCATGGTGGTCCTTGGGATCACGAAGTCCGGGCGTAACAATTTTTTTCTTGGGTTCTCATGGCCTCATTCCCTGTGGTAATGATGGATACTGGAGGCAAAGTTCCCAAACTATTCATCAAGCAATGAAAACCAAAAACCTGGCATGATTTTGATTAAAATGAGGAATTAAGGAATTCAAGGGAAGGACTAGGATGAGCAAAATGACTTGGTGAATGTCACCAAGTTGGTGAAGGAGGAGGACCACTGGGCAAGAAACTCCAACCTAAGCTAATAGCATAGACTAGAGCCTGTTTATGGTGGAAATGGTGAGCGGACACAGGTACACAGGATGCAGCAGCAACTCCAGCAACTGTGGAGCCATGGTGCCCAATCCCACCCCATCCCTGTACCTCACCCCCCACCACCCCAATGTCAGTAACACACTTACTTCTGAACAACGATCTTTTTCTTCAAGTCACAGCCAATGGAAATGAGTGCTGTCTGGAGAGAAAGAGAGAGAGAGAGAGAATCAGATCAGTGAGGGCCACGAATAGCCCAGCCACACGGAAGACCAGTCAGGACACACTGGCACAGGAGTTCACTGTGACTATGACTGGCCCCACGGAGGTGGGGCCCTAAGAGCCTGCTGAGCACTGGGATGCAGCTGAGGTTCCCCCACTGCTGACCCAGCTCTTAGGAGCTTTGAAGAGACCAGAACCCAATTTATAAACTCTGCACAGTGTTTAGGGAAGTAGGGAGGGAGGAAGGGAAGTAAGGAGGGAGGAAGGGAGGGAGGGAGGTGGAGGGAGAGGGGAAGAGGTTACAATGAATAAACAGAAAGGAGAAAAGAGAAAGACCAACATGGGGTCAGCCTGACAGCCTTAGGGATGTGCTTCTGAAACGGGTGTGGCGGCACCCTCAGTGACCTACTAGGGAATCTAAACCCACAGGACAGGGAGACTGTTATTTGAAAAGGAGCCTTTATTTTAAGACAAACATGGGCTTAACCATAAACAGAATGCAAGATTTGTATCAATTTTTTAAAAATTGTGGTAAATAGACAATATAAACTTCAGCATCTTTTTAAATATATATTTCTATTAATTTCAGAGAGAGAGAGAGAGGAACATCAATGATGAGAGAAAACCATTGACCGAAGGCCTCCTGCACGCCCCCTACTGAGGATCAGTCTGCACCTGGACATGTGTCCTTGACTGGAATCAAACCCAGGACCCTTAAGTCCGAAGGCCAACGCTCCATCCACTGAGCCAAGAAGGGTGTTCTGTTCCTTGGGTCCATCTTCTTAGTGCCCTCACCCACTGCAGTTACTATATTTTCTTCTCATTGTCATCTTGATGCCCTGGCACCTGGGGCCTTGCTGACAGGACCCCCCCAGGGCTGGCTAGTTCATATAGATGGCAAATATTCACCCGAGAACCCCGTTCTCCATTGCAAACCAACCAATCCAAAACCAGTTTTTTTCTTAGGAGCTGTTAGCTGAGTCACCAGGGGCTGACGGCACGTGACCCACAAGGACCAGGATTGATAGACCTGCTCCGAGGTGGTCCGTCCCGAGCGGCAGCCCCGGAAGATAACTGAGGAGGGGCAGTGACCCAGCACTGGGGAGGATCACCTGCCTTTCCACATCCTGAATGTGGGCTTGGCCAGCCCCTCAGGGAAACGTCAAACGTCAAACGTAACACCAATGACAAAGGATAGGGGTGGCAAAGGCGTGGGACATACCAGTGGCTGGAGGTCCACGCACGAAATTTCCTTGTTGACTATATCCACAGTGATGGTGGACATTGTGGGTTTCTTTATGCTGGAAGGCAAAAGGAGTGTTGGTTATTGCACAATGGTGTCTCAGTAGAAAGAATGAGCACATGCCCTGACAGGAATCAAATTATGACCTCCGGATTCTTAGGTGGATGCTCAATGACTGAACCACACCGGCCGGGCTACCCTCTCTATGTTAATCATTCTTACCTTACCATCTTCCAAGAAAGGGGCGTCTCAAACTTGGTTTTGCTTTCCTGGCTCCTGTTAAGAGAACCCCACAGACATCCTGGGGCCGCCCGCCAGTCTGAGTAATGACATACCTGGAGGTGAAGTTGGGGTCAGCCCTGCCCCAGAAGTGCTGCTGCTTCAGGGAAATGTTCTGTGGGATGAGAGTGAAATGTTCTGTGGGATGAGAGCCACAGTGGGACAGCCTGGGTCAGTCCCAAGTTTGGTGTTTGGGGAGGAGGAAAGGGGAGGGGGCACTGGGAGGAGGAGCCTGGAGACCGTCCAGGCCTCTCCCATGAAAGGCTTCCGGAAACTCATGGAAATGGCCACCCCAAGCTCCTTCGTTCCCTGTTGCCTTTGCCCTGGCAATAGTGTGAAGTGTAACTTTGTTCCCTGTCTCATTTCTCCGGGAAGTGACAAGAACTGGTCCAAAGAGTCCTGCCTGGCTGAGCTGGGGGACCTAGGCTTCTGTGCGCAAGTCCAAATGCTGTGATGTGACCCATGAGGCCTGGCTCAGACCTATAGACCCCCGGCCCATATATCCCAGTCCTTCCCGTGGCTCCCCCATTCTGACACCTCAGTTACCAGCTAATTGGGACCTCCTCCTTCCTGGGGCTGGGTGAGCTTCCCGGCCATGTCCTCTGTGCCTCTCCCTGTGTCCCCTTAATGACATCACTTGCTTAGCTGAGTGCTGCCTGCCTGGTTGGGGATGAGCTGGGAATGTTTCCTCCAAATTCTGTAGCACCTAATGCAGGTGCATGCAAGGAAGGAAAGGAGGAAGGAGGAGGGTCAGGCGCAGAAATGACCATGGGCGTGGACTCGCCTGGGGCGGTCAAAGTCGTGCCCTTCACCTCATTGATCCTGGTGTGGGGAGTGGGCGCGGCTCACCAGCCTGTGCTTGGTGTTCCCATCATAGGTGTAGTCATCTTCTTGGTTGAAGACATTAAGCCCCAAAGAGTGGGGATTGCTCACCATGGCCTGGGGAGGGGACAGAAGGGGCATCAGGGGTGACACCAGCAAATGTAGCTGCCAGTCCTATCCCCAGATGTTCCCCCACCTCATCCTCAACCCTTAGCTGTGGCCTCTAAGCCTTGAGCTGCTGAACTGCTGCTGCAGGGCCCAGACCCGGCCCTCGCGCGAGGAGCAGCCGGGGCCTGACCTGCAGAGGGAGGCCCAGATGAGACCCCTGGATGAGAGCCAGCACCAGCCTGGCGTTCCCTCACTGGCCCTGGTCCTGGCACTAACCCGCCCCCCAATTTCCAGGCTTGGACACTTGTGTTCCAGGCCCAGGACACCTGTCATTCTGCGTGAGGGAAGGCTGTGGGTCAAGGCTCTGCTAAGAAGAGAAGGAACTTGTAGAAAGCACGTGGGCAGCTGAAGGGTAGAGAAGGGGGCACGGAGCTCTGGTGAAAGGAGCCCTGGCACACAGCTCCGTCTGCCCAGACACGTAGAAGCTAGTTGAGGAGAAAAAGACAGATTCTATGGGTTTCGTGAGTGAGTACTCTCCATGGGAGTCCGGGAACAATGGGACAATGGGTACAGGGCCAGAGGTCAAGGATGCCGGGAACATCACGTGGAAACACTCGTCCAGCCGGGCTGGTGTGGCTCAGCGCACTGAGCATCATCACATGCACCGAGAGGTCGCCGGCTTCATTCTGGTTCAGGGCACATGCCCAGGCTGTGGGCTTAGTCCCCAGTGGGGGCAGGAGGTTGTGCAGGAGACAATCGATCAATGTTTCTCTCTCCCTCCCTTCCCCTCTCTCTCTCAAATCAATAAACACACATCTAAGGGAAAAGAAGAAACAGATAAGAGGATGTCCTTACGAGTGGGACAGGGGATGTGCCTGGCCGGGGTATCATCACGGCGGTCAACTTCAATTCGCTGTTCATATCAATGGTATATATTTTGTCGTCAAAGTCTCCTTCCAGTACTTCTACCTAGTTAGAAATGTAAAAATAAATAAATAAATAGTAAATAAAATAATAAAATGAAGCGTTGTTCCCCAAAAAGAAAAGGGCAAGTAGGTGAGAGGTCAGTGGTCACCCCGAAGGATGGAACCTTCTAGTCTTGTGGTGCAGCAGCCTGGACCGCAAATTGAACCGTCAACCTTTTGGTGTATAGGACAACCCTCCAATCAATGGAGCCACAGTGCCTGGGCAAATTCAGTGGATTCTAGAGCATTGAAAGATGGGATGAGGTTGTTGGACAAGACAGGCTCACAGATGGCATTTCCTTGGGAATGTAAATTGGTGCAGTCACAATAAAAAATAATGTAGAGCCCTAGCTGGTTTGGCTCAGTGGGTAGAGGATCAGCCTGCAGACTGAAGGGTCCCAGGTTTGATTCTAGTCAAGGGCACATGCCCGGCTTGTGGGCTCAATCCCCAGTAGGGGTGCATGCAGGAGGCAGCCATTCAATAATCCTCTCTTATCATTAATGTTTCTATCTCTCTTCCCTTTCCTTCCTCTCTGAAATCAATAAAAATATATTTTAGTCCTGACGGGTTTGGCTCAGTGAATAGAGCACTGGCCTGCGGACTAAAGGGTCCTAGGTTCGATTCCGGTCAAAGGCATGTACCTTGGTTGCAGGCACATCCCTAGTGAGGCAGCTGATCGATGTTTCTCTTTCATCGATGTTTCTAACTTTCTATCCCTCTCCCTTCTTCTCTGTAAAAAAAACAATAAAATATATTTAAATTGTATGAAAAGTCTTCAAAAAATTAAACATCGAACTGTCATCTGACCTGGAAATTCCACTTCTGGATATTTAGCTGAAGGAAATGAAATTCCTATATCGAATGGATATATGCACCCCCATCTTCATTACAGTGTATTCGCAATAGCCACGGCATGAAAACAATGTGTGTCCATCAGTAAGTAAACAGATAAGAAGATGCAGTGTGTATCTATATCTATATCCACAATGAAATGTTATCCAGCCTCAAAAAGGAGATTCTGCCATTTGTGACAAGGTGGAAAGACCTTGAGGGTATTATGTGGAGTGAAATAAGCCAGCAATAGACAAATGCTATATGACCTTACTTAGTGTGGAATCTAAAAATGTCAAACTCACAGAACCGGAGAACAGACTGGTGGCTGCCAGAGGCAGGGGCTGGAGGGTGGGCGAAATGGGTGATGGGGGTCAAAAGGTACAACCTTTCAGTTATAAGATACTAGGGATCCTGAACCCGGTTTGGCTCAGTGGATAGAACGTCGGCCTGCGGACTGAAAGATCCCAGGTTCAGTTCCGGTCAAGGGCATGTGCCTTGGTTGTGGGCACATTCCCAGTGGGGGACGTGCAGGAGGCAGCTGATTGATGTCTCTCTCTCATCAATGTTTCTAACTCTCTCTCTTCCTCTCCCTTCCTCTCTGTAAAAAAAATCAATAAAATATATATTTTTTAAAGATACTAGGGATGTGATATATAGCATGGAGACTATAGTTAACAATAGTTATTGCATATTTGAAAGTTGTTAAGAGTAGATCTTAAAAATTTTCATCACAAGAAAAGAAATTTGGCCCGGCTAACTTGCTCAGTGGTTGAGCATCTATCTATGAACCAAGAGGTCATGGTTTGATTCCCGGTCAGGGCACATGCCCAGGTTATGGGCTGGATCCCCAGTGTGGGGTGTGCAGAAACAGCCTATCAATGATTCTCCCTCTCCCTTCCTTACTGAAATCAATAAAAATAAAAGAAATTTATAACTATGTGTGGTGATGAATGTTAACTATGTTTACTGTGGTGAGCATTTTATTACATTAACATACATCAAATCATTATGTTGTAGACTTGAAACTAATGTAATGTTCTATAGTATGTCAATAATATCTCATTGATCCTGGCTGGTTAGCTCAGTTGGTAAGAGTGTTGTCCTCACATGCCAGGGTTGTGGGTTCAATCCCCTATGAGGGCACATACAAAAATCAAGCAATGAATACAGTATATGAATAAGTGGAACTACAAATCAATAGTGTTTCTCTCTCTCTCTCTCTCTCTCTCTCTCTCTCTCCTCTCTAAAATCAATGAATAAATTTTTAAAAAATGTTTCATTAAAAATGGAAAAAACTTTAAACATGAAGTTAGAAAAAATTTTCTTGTATTTCTTTTTTTTTAAATAAATATTTTTAAATATATTTTATTGATTTTTTACAGAGAGGAAGAGAGAGGGAAAGAGAGTTAGAAACTTTGATGAAAGCTGCCTCTTGCACACCCCCTACTGGAGATGTGCCCGCAACCAAGGTACATGCCCTTGACCTGAATTGAACCTGGGACCTTATAGTCCCCAGGCCGACGCTCTATCCACTGAGCCAAACCGGGTTCAGCCTTTCTTGTATTTCTGACCATGTGATTTCTAGGGACTACAAACATGGATTCTGGGAGCCTAAAGAAGACATTTTACTATTTATCTCCAGCAGCTACTCCCCCTTTCTGAGTGTATCCCGTTTCCTTTGGGACTATCCTGAGTTTCCTTTGGCAAATCACCCTCTTGCACATCCTCGGATATGTGGCCTGATGGGTGAACTGACTGCACCACTGTCTCTAGGAGTGAATTCTGATTGGCTCATCCTAACCTTGTGATTGGTTCAGGAATGGTTATGTCATCTCCCATGAGCTAATGAGATGTGGGAGACATGCTGGGCTTTCTCTTGGCTTCTCCAGGGCTCTGATGAGACTTTCTTTCTTTCTTTCTTTCTTTCTTTCTTTCTTTCTTTCTTTCTTTCTTTCTTTCTTTCTTTCTTTCTTTCTTTCTTTCTTTCCCTTCCTTCCTTCTTTCCTTCCTTCCTTCCTTCCTTCCTTCCTTCCTTCCTTCCTTCCTTCCTTCCTTCCTTCCTTTCTTCCTTCCTTCCTTTTCATTTTCCTTTTTTAAATACATATTCTTATTCAAACCTGGGGCTCTTTAGTCCTCAGGCCAATGCTCTATCCACTGAGCCTATCCAGCTAGGGCTAGAGACCCCCTTTCTTGCTTGGGTACAGCATGAGGATGCCAGGTCTTCAGGGTCGGCTACAGCTTGCTGCCATGATATGAGAAAGCATGAAACATCCCAGCAGGCAGATGGAGAGGTGGAAAGAAGCCGGCTCCTGGTGGCATGACATCAGACACCAGATCAAGCCTCACCTGAAGTCTCCCCCTTTGGATGTTTTGGTCCTGGAGTCAATAATTGCCTTTCTGGTTTAAGGCCATTTATTTGGATTTTCCATCACTTGCAGAATAATGAGTCCAAATCGATATGTGCATATTCCTCTATTTCTATGACTTTCCTCTCTTTAATTAGTCTGCTTGACGGAGGTCAAGGCTGACCCCCCATGGCTCAGGGATAGCAGCCCAAATGAATCTCCCTCCCTGGGGGCTCCAGGTAAGTTTCTGTGGAGCCAAGACTTGTGGTCGTGACAACCAAATCTCCTACTTTCTTCTCTTACGAGCAATTTGAGGGTTTGTTACAAAGATCACCTACTAAAAGTGAAATATGCCAGGACCGGTTTGGCTCAGTGGATAGAGCGTCGGCCTGCGGACTGAGAGGTCCCGGGTTCAATTCCGGGCACGGGCATGTACCTCGGCTGCGGGCACATCCCGGTGCGGGGTGTGCAAGAGGCAGCTGATCGATGATTCTCTCTCATTGATGTTTCTAGCTCTCTATCTCTCTCTCTTCCTCTCTGTGAAAAATCAATAAAATATATTTTTTTAAAAAAGTGAAATACATCTCTATATGAAAGAACGAACAGGAAACTATCAACAAGATGTGGGTGCCAGTCTTTGGGGGAGTGGCTGGCTGTCAGATCAAGTTGTTATGTGAAGTTTAGGCAGCCAACCCTACTTGGAGCTCGACATGTGGTTGCCAGACACAGATGCCCAACCCTGAGTCCCTGGGACTTGTGGGGGTTTTTTAAGTGTCTTGAATATGGAGCTAAACAGTTATGATCACATACTTTGCAGACGTCAACTTTGAGTTGAGGGTCCATGAGAACTGCCTGGATATTCACCAAGCACTTCAGGAAATCAAAAGCTGGAAACTCCGAGTCAGGAATTGGGGTCACGATTTCAAGTATCCCCAGGGCACTGAACATCATGGCTGCCTGTTGGGACCAGATGCTTTGGTGCGGTAACTGGAGAAAAAAGAAAAGAAAAAGTGATTCTGAAATCAGTTCATTCTAATTCTTTTATGAGGATTTAAATTTTGGGTTTAGCCGGAACCGGTTTGGCTCAGCAGATAGAGCGTCGGCCTGCGAACTGAAGGGTCCTGGGTTCAATTCCAGTCAAGGGCATGTACCTGGATTGTGGGCACATCCCCAGTGGGGGTGTGCAAGAGGCAGCTGGTCGATGTTTCTCTCTCATCGACATTTCTAACTCTCTCTCTCAATTCCTCTCTGTGTAAAATCAATAAAATATATTTTTTTAAAAAAAAGATTTGGATTTAAAGAAGGTAGACCAAACAAACAGCAAAATTATAGGTACGCTTTGTTGAGACACCTACTTAAGTTTTACTCATTCCTGTGTTTAAATTAATCATGGAAACTGTGTTTCCTATCAGAGAGGCTGCCCGCGAAATTTCTTTTTCTTTTTCTTTTTTAAAAATATTTATTGATTTTTTTACAGATAGGAAGAGAGAGGGATAGAGAGTTAGAGAGTTAGAAACATCAATGGATGAGAGAGAAACATTCAGCTGCCTCCTGCATACCACCACTGGGAATGTGCCTGCAACCAAGGCACATGCTCTTAGCCAGAATAGAACCTGGGACCCTTAAATCCACAGCTGACGCTCTATTCAGTGAGCCAAACTGATTGGGGGGGATTTCTTTTTTTTTAAAAAAAAATAAATGTTATTGATTTTTTTACAGAGAGAAAGGGAGAGGAATAGAAAGCTAGAAACATCGATGAGAGAGAAACATAGACCAGCTGCCTCCTGCACACCCCCGACTAGGGATGTGCCCGCAACCAAGGTACATGCCCTTGACCGGAATCGAACCTGGAATCCTTGAGTCCACAGGCCGATGCTCTATCCACTGAACCAAACTGACTTCGGCTGGGGGGGATTTCTTAATAGGTCATGGACCTGCTAGGGGAGTTGGAAAAGCCACAGGATCTCTCCCCAGAAAACGCTGGCCATCAGAATGTCAGGGTTAAGGCTTCAAAGAGACAGTTCTGGTGCTAATGCCCCACACCAGTGATCCTGTGCTAACTCCACTGTCAGTCAACTGTCAGGAAATAGGGTGGCTGTAGATGTAACAGGAAAAACACTGAAGTAGCAGTTGGCACAGCTGGGGGACTTTTCTGGCTCAGTTTCGAAGAAGTTACAGGACCTTCGGAGAGAGAGGGACTTGAACTCCAGTTTCTCCCTGTAAAAGCTGAATGATACTGACACCTTCCCTGGGTTGTTGTGAGGATGAAATAAAATTAGGTAAGCAAAATGTACAAGATACTGTGAGATATTCCAGCATCACCACTCCATACCTCTGTAACCATGGATAAATGACTTTACCTCTTTGCATCTTGGTTTGACCATCTGCCCAATGGGAACAATTGAAGAGTTTACTTCTTAAGATGATGGTCAAGATTAAGTGAGGTTAACAGTCAGAAGATGGTTAGACCCGCACCTGCCATATTCTAAGTGCTCAGTAAGTTTTAGCTGTCATTGCTATTATTTTAATAACTATAAAAATTACTATTACTGCCGAGGCTGGTTTGGCTCAGTGGTAGAGCGTCGGTCTGCGGACGGAAAGGTCCCAGGTTCAATTCCGGTCAAGGGCATGTACCTTGGTTGCGGGCACATCCCCGGTAGGGGGTGTGCAAGAGGCAGCTGGTCGATATTTCTCTCTCATCGACGTTTCTAGCTCTCTATCTCTCTCCCTTTCTCTCTGTTAAAAATCAATAAAATATATTTTTTAAAAATTACTATTACTACTAAGTTAATGTTAATACTGATATTAATTAAAATTATTGTTATTACTTCTGATATTAAAATACTGTTACTATTTTAAATAATTAGAGCAATTTCTAGCCTCCAGTAAGAGTACTGGAGCCCTAGCCAGTATGGCTGAGAGGGCAGAGCATTGGCCTGCAGACCAAAGGGTCCCGGGTTCGATTTCGGTCAAGGGCACATACCTTGGTTGCAGGCTCCTCCCCAGCCCCGGTCTGGCTCATGCAGGAGGCAACCAATTTCTCACACCAATGTTTTTCTCTGTCTTTCCCTCCTCTTCCACTCTCTCTAAAAATCAATAGAAAAGTATCTTCGGGCAAAGATTAACAAAACAACAAAAAAGAATATTGGAAGTTTGAGAACAAAGCTGGGAATAACCCTAACTTTGATTTTACCTACTTTGATTATGAAATTTGTCAGGATTCCCAGGCTGCCATAATACACATTATCCTCCCGAGTTAAAACTGCCAGTTCGTTCTCATCTAGAAAAAAACAAATAAGACAGGACACTGAAATGAGGCTTTTTTCACCCTAGCTGGTTTGGCTCAGTGGATAGAGCATCAGCCTGCAGACTGAAGGGTCCCAGGTTCAATTCCAGTCAAGGGCACATGCCCAGGTTGTGGGCTCCATCCCTGGTGGAGGGTGTGCAGGGGGCAGCCAATCAATGATTCTCATCACTGATGTTCCTCTCTCCCTCTCCTTTCCTCTCTGAAATCAATAAAGTATATTTTAGAAGAAAAGAAATGAAGCTTGTTTTAATAGATTAAAAATATTTAAAATATAAAGTGGGGGTTTTTTAATTACCCCAAATTCCATCATCTAGACTGGGCTCAACAAACTTCTGTAAAGAACCAGATGGCAGATAGTTTTTGCTCTCTGGTTATGTCATGTCTATTAAAAGTATTTAACTCTGGCCGAAACTGATTTGGCTCAGTGGATAGAGTGTCAGCCTGTGGACTGAAGGATCTCAGGTTTGATTCCGGTCAAGGGCATGTACCTTGGTTGCAGTCACATCCCCAGTAGGGGGTGTGCAGGAGGCAACTGATCGATGATTCTCTCTCATCGATGTTTCTAGCTCTCTATTCCCCTCTCTTTCTCTCTGTAAAAAATCAATAAAATATATATATTTTAAAAAGTATTCAACTCTGCCCTTGCCAGTAGCTCAGTTGATTGAAGCATCGTCCGTGCACAAACAGGTTGCAGGTTCGATTCCTGATCAGAGAACATACCTAGGTAGTGGGTTTGGTCGGGACATGTATGAGAGGCAACCAATCACTGTTTATCTCTTACCCCCACTCCCTGTCTTTCTCTCTCTCAAAAATCAATAAACATATTCTCAGGTGAGGGTTTAAAAAAAAAGTATTCAATTCTGAAAGTAGATCTGTTCCTATAAAACAAGCTATGGGCCAAATTTGACCCGCAGGAGAGGGTTACTGAGCCCTGACAGGTAACCATTGTTAACGTTTTAGTAAACATCTTTTCTGATAGTTGCATATACTGGGATCATATTCTGGAACCCTCCAAGCTGTTTTGTAACTTAAATTTTTTTCCTTCCCTTTTGTATACATGGATGTAGTTGGCTGGTTGATATTCTGGAGCCTCGGTGAACTCTAAGTTACTTAACCAGTTCTCCACCGATGAACATTGAGGCTGTTTCTGATCTTCTGCATGTACAAAGTTCCAAGGAAACACAGGACACCATTAAGGGATTTTATGAAAGGGGGTAATCAGATCCAATGTATATTTTTATTCTTTTTTTTATTTAAAAAAAAGCAACCAAGGAGTTTTGCACAGTGGCAGTATCGTAGCCAATGAAGTTTATCTGATTATTGCTAATTGAAAAAAAGCAACCAAGGAGTCCTGGCCAGTGTTGCTAAGTGGTTAGAGAGTCGGCTCCACACTGAAGGGTTAAATGTTTGATTCTCAGTCAAGGTCATGTACCAGGGTTGCAGGTTCGAACCCCGGCCCTGATCAGGGCACATGTAGGAGGCAGCCAATTGATATGTCTCTCTCACATCCATGTTTCTCTCTCTCTCTCTCCCCCTCCCTCCCTCCTCGCTTCCCTCTCTCTCCCTCTCTCTCTCTCTTCTCTCTCCCTCTCTCTCCCTCTCTCTTTCCCTCTCTCCTTCCCTCCCTTAAAAAGTCAATGGAAAATATATCCTTGGGTGAGGATTAACAACAATAATAACAATAAAACAGCCAAGAAAGTTTTCAGAAGAAGCAAGTCTTAAGCTGAGCCTTGAAAAAAGCTTCTGGTGTATTATAGAAAAGTGAGGTATTTGTAGAGGAAGGACCAGACTAATGTTACTGAGGGTTTCTCAACCTAAGCTCCATTGTTTTTTTTTGTGGTGGGGGCTGTCCTGTGCATTCTGTGATGTTGGATAGCATCCCTGGCCTCTACCCAGAAGATACCAGGCATAAGCCCCGCCCCCCCTCCCCCCAAATCATGACAACCATCTCCATATATCGGCCAGAGTCCCCAGGTTGAGAACCATGGGGTTAAGTGGACAAAAGGGATCCCTTAGGGCAGTGGTAGGCAGTCAGATGAGATACAAGATATACATACCTGAATGCCATTGTTGGGAATTTGAATATTATTCTTTAGAAAATTTGAAAGATTCTAGACATGGAAAATGATGTGTACTAATAATTTTTTTTAAAGGAGTGGCAAGACAAGCCATTGACTGGGAGAAAATATTTGCAGAGCCTATTTTTGATAAGGGCCTTGCATCTAGAATATATAAAAAACACTTGCAACTCAACAATAAAGAAGGCAAACAGCCCAGTTAAAAAATGACCAAGAACCTACAGGGACAGTTCGGCTAGAAAGCTACCCGCTGGCTGGACACGCACTTGCAGCCACAGCGTGGATGGTGATGCCGGCATCAAAGACGGAAGAATACAAGGTGCCAGGTTTTTCTTGCACCTGGACAGGGTAGACGAGCTGACCTACAAGACAACAGGGCAGGATCATGAGACCTGGGCACGTGTTGGAAGGGGGAGTCCACTGGTGAAATGATAAAAGATTCAACAAAAACATAATACTGAGGTGCAATGTTGTAAAACACCCTTCGGAAGGGACTTAGGCTTAAGGAAGCTGCTTCACCGCCTGGAAGCTTGCCCGCCACAGAACGCGTGCTCAGGCAACAAGCATTAGGAAAAAGAGCGCTTTGTTTCTGGAAAGCTCTCGGATGGACAGCCCAAGCCCCTCTCTTGCACGCTAGGGAACACGGGGCTCAGGTAGCCTGACTGGCACTGGGTAGCTGGCTGTGATTGTGGGCGCTCTCGCAGCCACACCTGTGCCCAGAGGCTCCTGACAGCGCCTCTTCAGGGAGGGCTGCCTTTTGCTCCTCGGCTATGCCAGCTGGCGGGCTGGAGCTCCAGGGCCTGGGCCCTTCCAGGATCCCTCATAGGCCACCTACAGGAGCTGTGCCGCTTCCATTCCTTTCTCGCCCAAGGGAAGTTCAAGTGAGTGGTCCTGGCTCACCTCCTAGAATCCCTAACCTCAGCTTCAAAACAAGGTCTGCAGTAACTGGACTGAAGACGTGGACTCTGCCCTCGGATCTGGTGACTTTCAGAACCTGCTGCCTGTGTGTCCCTGAAGGTCCCGAGGCAGGGGAGGGGGAGGAGGAGATGCAGTTAGGAGGTGTGTGGTAAATGGGAACATGGCCCCTTCCCATGGGAACCAGCTCCCCTCTTCCCCTCTGGGAACACCATGGAAGGCCATCAGTAAGTGGACCATGAGACTTTGGGAGCCTGGCCAGCTCCTCAGTTAAGGAAACAGCTAGCAGTTGTGGGTTCACACAGCTAATGCTAAAAAGCATCCCCCTTCCCCTGCATAGCCTGGTTTCCTTTGCTTTCTATTCTTCATAAAACCCCGTGTTGGGCGAGTCTGGGTGGCTGCAAACAATAGGTAGTCGCTCATCTGCAGGCCGGACGAGACATGGCCGTTCAACTCCACCGGCGGCAGGTGGTGTGGCGTTCGCTGGACCGCGTTTAAGACCTGATAAACCCATCTCTCCCACGGCCTGCCCTCTGGGTTCTTTCTTTGAGAATCCAAGAACCATACCTGGAGGTGCTCTGGGACCTCAGCACTTGGCATAACAGGCGACAAAGTGAGAATGGGTTCCACTCAAGTCAGGGGAGAGAAGAAATAATGGTGTGTGCTTCCCCAACCTGGAGAGGGACCTGAATGGCAGCCCGGCCGCTCACCTGAATTTCGGGACACTAGCAGGCTCTTCTCAGACCAGAAGATCAGAATGCCTTTCTGGCGGGGGGCGATGATGACATCGAGAGTGCTATTGTAGTCAAAGGGCAGCCCAAAACTGTGGTTCAGAGGGTATTCCGAGTACTCAAACTTGGCCTGAGAAAGACATTCCACATCCCTGATTACAGAGCGGCAGCAGGTGTATGTCCTCCTGCTTCAATATTCAAACTTTCTTCAAACTTGCTTAACTGTCCCAGCAGCTCTCAGCAGGGGATGGTTCTGCCCCCGGAGGGCACCTGGCACGTCTGGGGATGTCTGTGGTTGTCACACTGGGGGTGCTCCTGGCATGGTGAGTGGGGGCCCAAAACCCCGCAGTGCACAGGACAGATTCTCACAACGAAGAACTGTCCACCGGAAATGTCCCCAGTGCAAGATGAGGTGCCTGCTCTCCCTCAGTTTCTGGCAGGCCCAGCTGGCGCCCTTGCTCCTGAGTTATTACTCAAGTTCCTTTCTCTCCTCCAACCCACCTGTGTGCACACCCCACAGCCTCCTTCATCAAGCCACTTGCACCTTGTGACCCTTTAGGGCCAGCTCCGGCGTCCAGTCTGAATTGTTTGGTATGGTTGTCCAAGTTCTCTCTCTCTCTTTTTAAATGGACAGTTTAAGAATTTTTTTAAAATACATTTTTGTTAATTTTTTACAGAGAGGAAGAGAGAGGGATAGGGAGTTAGAAACGATGAGAGAGAATCATGGATCAGCTGCCTCTTGCACACCCCCCTACTGGGGATGTGTCCGCAACCAAGGTACATGCCCTTAATCGGAATCGAACCTGGGACCCTTCAGTCCGCAGGCCGACGCTCTATCCACTGAGCCAAACCGGTTTCGGCTCAGTTCACAATTTTTGCTGACTATACTTAATCACTTTCCGATTTGCTATTTTATCTTCTAATGCAGTTTAAATGGGGGGAGAGAGGGAGGTTGCGTGGATGAATGGGTTTCTGGATGAAAGGTAGGTAAATGGATGGATGAATGAATTTATGCGTGAATGAATGGACTGCTAGGTAGACGGATAGGTGAAAGAAAAGCTAGATGGATTTCAGTCCTAGCCAGTTTGGCTCAGTGGATAGAACGTTGGTGGACTGAGGGGTCTTGGTTCAATTCTGGTCAAGGGCATGTACCTCGGTTCAGGCTCTGTTAGGGCTACGTGCAGGAGACAACCTATCGATGTGTTTCTCTCACAGCAATATTTCTTTGTCTTTCCCTCTCTCTTCTACTCTCTCTAAAAATCAATTGAAAAATATCCGCAGGTGAGGATTTTTTTTTTAAAAAAAAGCTAAACATATTTAAGATATGAAAATCCAAGTGTATGACATTTAATAAAACCCTGGCTTGGGACAAAGATCACTTAAGGTCATTCTTCCCAGGCCAAGTGACTCACCTTCTGTTGATTGATGAGAAGAATCCCAATCTGTGACAAGGAGTAAAGGTTGAAGACCCCACCCAAAGACCCAACGGGTAGTGCCTGTGAAACAAAAAACGGTTGTGTGTGAATAAATGGTAAACATGTGTTTAATTCTAAATTGAACTTTAGGGTAACCGATAAGCTAAAATGAAGACAGATCTTTAAAATTTATGATCTATTTATTCTCTATGAAACGTGGCATCCTCGGTAGAACCTCAAGTGATGACAACTTTGTGTTGGAAGTTGGAGAAAGTGGTGTGACCGGCTGCTGAATGCATGCCTAGCTCCTTCCTTCCTGCCTAGTTCCTCACACCCGCCGATAGGTTGTCTCCTGCACGCAGCCCTGGCAGAGCCTGAACCGAGGTACATGCCCTTGACCAGAATTGAACCAAGACCCTTCAGTCCACCAACGATCAGCTGATCGATGTTTCTAACTCTCTATCCCTATCCCTCTCCCTTCCTCTCCCTTCCTCCCTTCCACCCGTTGTTTGGCTGACCAGCAGAGTGCGCAGCAACCACACTGGAGCATGAGGCCACACTGACATCTTTCAGGTAAGAGAGAGACGACTGTCCTCATTATTAAGCCTCTGTTTTTTGGGGGGAGGTGTTACATAATATACAGCGCTTTGGATTGAATTGTGTGCCCCTCCCCGCCCCCCTCCAAATCCATTGGTCAAAACCCTAACCCTTTGTATCAGTCCTGTCAGGCTGCTGTGACAAAATACCACAGCCTGGGTGGCTTATAAACAATAGACATTTATTCCTCACAGCTCTGGAGGCTGGAAATCTAAGATCAAGGTGCCAGCATGGTCAAGCAAGGGCCCTCTTCTGGGTCACAGTCTTCTTGCTCTGTCCTCACAAGGCGAAGGGGGCCAGCAAGCTCTCTGGGGCCTCTGGTGTAAGGATGGATGAATGAATTTACGTGTGAATGAATGGACTGCTAGGTAGACAGATAGGTGAAAGAAAAGCTAGATGGATTTCAGTCCTAGCCAGTTTGGCTCAGTGGATAAAACGTTGGTGGATTGAGGGGTCTTGGTTCAATTCTGGTCAAGGGCATGTACCTCGGTTCAGGCTCTGTCAGGGCTACGTGCAGGAGACAACCTATCGATGTGTTTCTCTCACAGCGATATTTCTCTGTCTTTCCCTCTCTCTTCTACTCTCTCTAAAAATCAACCTGAGGGTTTTACCCTTACGACCTAAGCACTCCCAAGGGTTCCACCACCACCAATAACCACACACACACACACACACACACACACAGCAGACTCTTGAATTAATCATTGGTATTGAAGTGATGGGACATTACGAAGAGTAAACATTGTTCTAGGACTTTATCTTCTCTCCTGGGGAGGGGTAGTGCACTTTTGTTGTTGTACACAGGATGGCTGTATTGGGTTGGGCAGACTTTGTTCTTGTTAGTGTCTTTATTTGGAGGTTCTGGTTGAAGGAGATGTGTATGGATGTCAAATTGATAAGAATGGACTTGTGATGGTTAATTCCAAGTGTCCATTTGGCTGCACTGAGGGATGCCGGGAGAACTGGTAAAACACTGTTCCCGAGTGTGTCCACAGTGTTTCTGGAAGAGCTTAGCATTTGGTTCAGTAGATGAGTAAAGGAGACCCACTCTCACCAGTGTGGGTGGGCATCACCCAATTCTTCAGGGGGCAAAAAGAACAAAAAGTTGTCCCTGACCGGTTTGGTTCAGTGGATAGAGTGTCAGCCTGCGGACTGAAGGGTCCCAGGTTTGATTCTAGTTAAGGATATGTACCTTGGTTGCGGGCACATCCCCAGTAGGGGGTGTTCAGGAGGCAGCTGATTGATGTTTCTAACTCTATATCCCTCTCCCTTCCTCTCTGTAAAAAATTAGTAAGATATATACATATATAAACCATTGGAAGAAGGGCAAATCCACTCTCTCTTTTTGACCTGGGGCCTCCATCTTCTCCTGTCCTCTTCCTGGTTTTCTAGTTTTTGGGTTCTGGGGCATACATCAGCAGCCCCTGGGTCCTACCAGGTCTAATTTCAAATTAAAACATGTGGCTGGGCTGAAACCAGTTTGGCTCAGTGGTAGAGCGTCGGTCTGCGGACTGAAAGGTCCCGGGTTCAATTCCGGTCAAGGGCATGTACATTGGTTTTGGGCACATCCCCGGTAGGGGGTGTGCAAGAGGCAGCTGGTCGATGTTTCTCTCTCCCTTCCTCTCTGTAAAAAATCAATAAAATATATATTTTTAAAAAAAACAAAAACAGGCGGGTCGGGTGCGGCCAGGCCCGGAGCAGCAGCAGCCAAGTCCAGAGCAACTAGGTCGGGAGCGGCAGTGACCAGACCCGGAGCAGCTGGTTGTGGAACGAACCAGAGCAACAGAGGCCAGGCCCGGAGCAGCCAGGCCCGGAACAGCTCACTCCTTGCCTGCCCCTGCCCCACGGCTGCTTCTCAGACATGGCTGGAAACTTTCGTGGGAACTTGAGGGTTCTGCTGAATCAAGTGATGAAGGCTTAGATCTGGATGTGTTGAGTTAGTATAGGGCTGGGGTGTTGATCTGTGAGTGCCTTGGGTGGGGCCTAGATGAGGCTGGTGGACCTATTGGGAAATGTCTTTTGTGTGAAGTGTATCATTGGGCATGTGGAGGTATTATTGATTTGAGAAAATGCTAAGTAACTGATTTACTATCTGAAAAGGGATTTACTATTGGGGAAAGGGAGGGAAGAAGAGACTGAACATAAACTGCACCTATGGATGAGGACAATGGGGGATGGGGAGGGGTCGGAGGGTGGGGTGGGAACCTGGTGGAGGGGGGAAGAAATGAGGAACCTTTGTAATAATATGAACAATAAAGATTGATTTAAAAAAACAAAAAACAAAAACAAAAAAAACATGTGGCTGGTTAGGTTCTAGGCTTCTTTGAGGCTCTTAGGCAGGACTGAGAAACCAGATCTGAGACATGATCAGAACTTGGGTGTGCCCTCCTTTGGACGTACTTCCTAAGTCCTTGGGAGTATAGCCATTCTCTGAGTCAGAATAAAACATCCTCATTCTCTTAGCTACTCAACGTCCTGATCGCTTCAGCTGTGCCGAGCGGTGTGGCCTTGGTAAAGGCCCTGAGCTTCTCTGAGCCTCCATCCCTCTGTTTCCTAGGGCTGCCACAAAACAAAGCAAACAAACAAAAAATACCACGTACCGGGGTGGGGGAGAAGGAGGGCTTAAAAATAACAAACATTTAAGGTCACCTTTCTAGAAGGCCGAGCCTGGAATCAAAGTGTTGGCAGGGGTGGTTCCTTGTGAAGCTCTGAGGCAGAACCTGGGCCACCCATCACTTAGAGCGTGTGGTGGCTGCCAGCAGTCCTGAGTTCCTTGGCTAGCAACTGTGTCAGCCCCGTACATAGCCTTCTTTTCTGTGTGCCCTCTCCTCTTACAATGACACCAGCCACTGGATTTAGGGCCCAACCTAACCCACTATGACTCCATCTTGACTTAACAAATTACATCTGTAGAGACCCTATGTCCAAGTCAGATGATATTCTGAGGTTATGGGTCGACATAAATTTGCGGGGGCGGGGGGCGGGGAGGAGGGGACGCACAAATTCAACCCAATACTGTTCTCATCTATATAAAATCAGGGTCATAAGAGTACTGATCTTCAGGTGGGCATGGGGTTAAATATCATAATTAATGCGCAGCCTTTACTTTGACACTAGTTTTTATAAGCATTCCATAAACGTGCTATCATCTAAAACCTCTTGTCTCCCTTCCTAACCTCCTAATCTCTCTAGCCAGGTCCCATGACCTGGAATTTTCCCTACCCGCCTGAGAGACAGAAGCCTTGGTTCACCCACTGCGCGCTAATTACTCCAATCACACACAAGACATTTAACTTTTTTGGTTCACTTTTTTATGCAAATGCACATACCTGTCCTTGTAAAATGCGATACTTCACAAATGTGTATCCCCAGTTATATGAGAAATATACATTGGCCTCAGATATCTTATCTCCATGCAAATAGGCAAAAACGTATTTATTTATATCCTGGAAGAACACACACAGAATAGTCACTTTAAAAGGAGGTTTGGGGGTTGGGGGTGGGGAGATGCTATTGAAGGTCACAAACTTGCACCCAATAGCTACATACTCCTGCAGATCTAATGCCCAGCAGTGATTATAAACAGCAATGCTATACTGTAAGCTTCCAAGTTGCTAAGAAACTAGATCTTAATGGTTCCCATTAATGGCAATGATGTACCATGATGCAGGTAACCCTAGAGTGGTCATCATATTGCAATATATAAATGTATCGAATCATCACATTGTACACTTGCAGTGTTCTGTCAATTATATCTCAGTAAAAAAGGGAGATCAATGCCAAGAGTAAAACTCCTGGGCAATTATCCCAGAAAAATTAAAACATACGCGCATACAAAAATCTGTACATAAGTGGTTACAGCAGCTTTTTTTGCAATAGCCCAAAAGTGAAGGCAACCAAATCCTGGTACATTCAAACCACGGAATATTACTTGACAATGAAAAGGGAAAGACTAGAGATATATACAACAAATTAGATGACTCTTCAGAGAATTTAGCTGACAAAAGCTGGTCCTCAAAGGTCCCATAATGTACGGTTCTGTTTACATAACATCCGTGAAGTGGTAAAATTATAGAGATGGGAAACAGATTAGTGGTTGACAAGGGTTGGGGTGAGATAGGGACAGGGAGGTATGGAGCTTTGGGATGACAGAATCCAGTCTGGTATTTCAATGCTAGTATGGTTCTGGGGTGTGGCAATGTGATAAAATGCTAGACATATTGTAACCATGTCAATGGTTAGTATGACACTACAGTTATGTAAGATGGTAGATGTGGGAAGGGTACATGGAAATCTTTTCCACTTACTGGAGAGTCTATAATTATTTTAAAATAACAAGTTCAAAAAAAAAGGAAGCCGAAACTGGTTTGGCTCAGTGGATAGAGCGTCGGCTTGCGCACTGAAGGGTCCCAGGTTCTGTTCCGGTTCTGTACTGGGGATGTGCAGAAGGCAGCTGATAGATGTTTCTCTCTCATCGATGTTTCTAACTCTCTATCCCTCTCTCTTCCTCTGTGTAGAAAATCAATAAAATATATTACAAAAAAAAGGTGGGGGGGACTCTTTCTTCCTCCCCATGTGGGAGTCTGTACTGTTCTTCAATAAATTTCTGCCTTTGCTGTGTGTGTGTGTGTGTGTGTGTGTGTGTGTGTGTGTGTATATATATATATATATATATATATATATATATATATAGTAGATGGATATATTCTTAGTGTATTAGCCAGTTGATCTGAAAGTTGCTCCAGAGGCCCTCCCCACACCAATCATTGCCCAAGTCCAAAGGCCCAACCCCCAAGGATTCGCCTGTCCTTATTTCCATCTGTGCTCAGAGCAGAGTAAAAAAAAGTGATATCCTGTACTCACCGAGCAAGTGAAATGCATACCATAGCAACAGTTGTCACCAGAAATATGTGAAACAGGGTGTTCTATGCCTGAAAGGAAAAGATCATTTTGAAACTATATGAGTTACCTGAAGGTCAGAGAAAAGGTTTAGACACTGTTAAAGATTTTGTTTACTTTGGTCCAGTCCCTAATTTAAATGGAGACTGACCTTGGATGCACATATACATAACCCATGGACACAGACAACAGGGTGCTGAAGGCCTGGGAGATGGGGGGGGGGTAGGGCCAGGCTGGAGGGGGTCAATGGGAGAAAAATGGGGACATATGTAATACTTTCAACAATAAAGAATTATTAAAACAAACAAACAAACAAACAAACAAACAAAAAACAAATGGAGACTGCAGCCAAGAAATCAGGACAAGGCTAAGTAACCTGCTATTGACATGTGGGGCCCGATGGTTCCTGGTTGTGGGGTTGTCCTGTGCCTGTGGGACATTTTGCAGCACCCCTGCCTTTAATGACTCAATGTAGCACTTTCCTCCATCTAGACAACCAAAAATACCTCCCCACATTGCCAAAGTGTCATCCAGGGGCAGGCCTGTCCCTAGTTGAGAAGCACACTCTTTAGGACTATGCCAAAACTGCAGGAAGAACTCCCTTCTCTTACCAAGGTGTTCTTTGATTCCATTTTAAGTGCAGAAACTTTGGCTTGGCATGAAACAGAAAACAACCAGTGTTGGTGAGAATATGAAGAAAATGGAACTTTTGTACCCTGTTGGGAATGGGAATGGTGCAAGACTAGCAAACAGCATGGAGTTTCATCAAAGAATCTGAAAATGGAATGACCACATGATGACTACAGAAGAGATATGCAACTTTCACACAGACAATGAAGGAAGACATTGCTGAAGATTTAGCTTCCTTTGGTTCAGTCACTAATTCAAACGGAGACTCCTGCCAAGAACTCTGGAGAAGGCTGAGACTCGGAAGGGCAGCAATAGAAAAACTAGGAAAGGTCAGCATTAGAGATCAAGGTTATCTACACCCTGGTATTCCCAATTACTGTGCCCGGATGTGAAAGTTGGGCAGTGGAGAAGGCCGATAGGAATGTTGATTCATATGAAATATGGAGCTGCAGACCGGCGGGACTGCCAGGAAGACAGATACATGGGTCTTGGTTTAATAAGCCACACACATCACTGGAGGCAAAAGTGACCAAACTGAAGCTGTCCTCCTTCGGGCACATCCTGAGAAGGCAGGTCTCTTTGGACACCACCATCATGCCAGGGAAAAGGAAAGGCAAAAGGAAAAGAAGAAGACAAAATGTAAGATGGATTGATTCCATAAAAGAAGCCGCAGACATGAGTCCACAAGAGCTGGGCGGGGCTGCTGGGGGAAGGACAGTGTGGACATCACTCTTTCAGAGTGTGGCCAGGAATCAGAGCCAATCCAATGCCACTTCTGGGAATACAAAAAATTTTAAAAATTAAAAAGCATGGACTCAGGAAGATATTTGTACACACACACACACACACACACACACACACACACACACACACACGTTCAAACAGTGTGGAGCACAATAGCTAAAACACGGAAGCAATCCGAGTGTCCACTGGCCGTTGACACTATAAACAAAATGTGGTCTGCCGAAACCGGTTTGGCTCAGTGGATAGAGCGTCGGCTTGGGGACTGAAGGGTCCCGGGTTCGATTCCAGTCAAGGGCATGTACCTTGGTTGCGGGCATATCCCCAGTAGGGGGTGTGCAAGAGGCAGCTGATGGATGACTCTCCCTCATTGATGTTTCTAACTCTCTCTCTCCCTTCCTCTCTGTACAAAATCAATAAAAATATATTTTAAATAAATAAATAAATAAATACATAAACAAACAAACAAACAAAATGTGGTCTATCTGCACCATAGAATGTTGTCACCAAGCATCTAGAAGTCTTTCTTGTCCAGAGAAGGGTTCTCTGGCTTACAACTGCAATCTGCAGTGGATGGGGGTTCAGCCCAGCTTCCATTTGAATTTTAAAGGACAGGGTGACAGTCGGGGACAGACATCCACATAATGGTATGGTTTGTCCTTCCGAAATTAATAACCATTTCTCTGAGGTTGGCTGAACTCAAATGAAATTTAAAAAATACAAAAAGGCCCTGGCCAGGGTGGCTCAGCTAGTTGGGGTGTCATCTCATACACCAAGAGTTGGTGGGTTCAATTCCTGGTCAGGGCACATACCCAGGTTGCAGGTTTGATCCCCGCATGTGGAGGCCACCAATCGATGTTTTTTTCCTTCTCTCTCCCTCCTTTCCCCTGCCTCAAATCAGTTAAGAAAAACAAACAAACAAAAAAACACATATATATGGGGGGGCCAATGTTAAAATATGTACACAGATAATAATTTAATACCTGTCAACCGAATGGGACATATAAATACATCAAACGTAAACAATATTGGGAATGGACGTATAAATACGTCCTGGAAATATATGTTGCGCCCTGAGAGGGACGGTATATATTTTTTGTAATCTTTATAATTGTTTGTAAAATTTATAATTTTTTAATTCGATGTTTCCATTTTTTTGTTGGTATTCTTTTCTATTTTTTTGTAATTTTGTATTTTCCTTTGTGCTTTATATATAAATAAAAGAATATATATATATAATTTATTTTAATTAAGTATAAATAGAAAAAAAATAATAATATGAAATTAAGTCCTCCGGGCATGACGTACTGACACGTCCTAGTGAAAGAGTACGCGCCCATAACAGGTTGCGTAAAAGGGAACTCCCCGGTTAACAGGTTAAATGTAAAATAAAATAAAATAAAATAAAAAAATAAAACACATAAAAAGAATATATACCTGTTGATGCAGTCCAGATACGATTTTTAATATTATAAACATAGACTTTTTTATTCACTACTAACAACAATGAAAGATCAGCAAAATGTGCTGATGTTACTTCTGGTTTGCCAACCTATAAATAATGACATACATAATATCAATAAACACCTCTTTTTGGATATCAATTTGGGAAGCAATACTTCTAGTCACACATCCAAGAAACATTTGTACCAACAGGAGCTGTTCGGTTCCTACATATTGGGGACTGTGTTTCCTGGGGTAAGCTGAAACCAAAACTGGGAGGTTGAAATCAGTGTTTGGTGGCCTCAGACAGCTAAATTCTCTCCCTCATCAAAACCTTCTCTGAGCCCTGGCTGGTATAGTTCAGGGGTTATAGTATCAGCCTGAACCTCAAGGGGTCATGAGTTTGACTCCCAGTCAAGTGCACATACCTGGGTTGCAGGTTCAGTCTCCAGCCCTGGTTGGAGAGTGTGCAGAAGTCAACCAATTGATATGTCTCACATAGATGTTTCTCTTTCTCTCCTTCCCTTGCTTCTTCCCTTCCTTCCTCTCTTCCTTCTACTCTCTTAAAAAAAATCAATGGAGCCGAAACTGGTTTGGCTCAGCGTAAGAGCATCGATCTGCGGACTGAAAGGTCCCAGGTTCGATTCTGGTCAAGGGCATGTACCTTGGTTGCAGGCACATCCCGGTAGGGGGTGTACAAGAGGCAGCTGGTCCATGTTTCTCTCTCATAGACATTTCTAGCTCTCTATCTCTCTCCCTTCCTCTCTGTAAAAAGTCAATAAAATAAAAAAAATAAAAAAATATATATATATACACACACACATATATATATAAAATCAATGGAAAAAAATATCCTTGCGTGAGGATTAATGACAAAACAAAAAACCCAAAATATAAAAAACAAACCTTTTCTGAGGAGGCTCTGGCCAGATAGCTCACTTGGTTAGAGCAATTATCCCAATATGCCAAGGCTGCATATTAGATCCAGGTCAGGGCACATACAGGAATCAACCAATGAATGCATATAAGTGGAACAACACATCCATGTTTCTCTCTCCAGAGAAATAAAAACAAAATAATAACAACAAATCCTTCCCCAAGGATAAAGCCTAAAGATAAGTGATAATGAGGAGCATAAATGATGAGCATAATTATTGCTTCCAAGAAACATTGGTATCTTGATAGATGGCAGAACTTCTTTGGCATAGGTGCTAATGGTAGAATTTCTCAAGATAGACACTAAGAGGGTAAAGGTTTTTCTGTTTTGGTTAGGACAATTTAGGGAGGCCCTGGAATTAGTGCATGTAATCTATCTGTTCCCAACACACAACCAATTGTAGGAAGCATTGGCGACAATTCTGCTTCCTTTTTCAGGAAAAAGAGGTACCATTTTGGTAGTAGGGACAGAATAGAATCAACCCTCTTTTTTTGGCTTAGAAACTACTCTCAATGTCTTAAAGAGATACATTTTTTTTTTTGTAAAACAAACTTCAAATGAACAAAAAAACAAACTAGTGTGATATTTCCAAATTATACCTTTACATCAAGTATTACGTATTTCAAGCATCTTTCAGATTGTCCCATATAATAACTACCTGCATTGATGGAGGGATGGACAATGGAGAAAGACTACCCTCAAAGTTCTCTTTCGTGAAAAAAAGTTGTCGTCTGAAATAAAAAATAAAACAGTTAAATTAGGAGAATTTTACACAAGGGGAAAGAAAGACAATGGCAGCCACTCTAAAAATGTTACACATATCAAAATCCCTTTAAAAAAATAAGAAACAACTTAGATTCTGCCCATCTATTTACCTATCTGTCCATCCATCTACCTATTTTTGCATGAGTCAATTTGTATAACCTGGGCATTAAATTTCTTGAAATAACATTATTTTAAAAATGTGACCAGCCCTACCATTTGGCTTTCCTAGGGACACATGGCTCCATTGCCAGGTTTGATTCCTGGCCCTGGTCAGAACATTGTGGGAGGCAACCAATGGATGTGTCCCTCTCACATCGATGTTTCTCTCTCTGACTCTCTCCCTCCCTTCCACTCTCTCTAAAAATCATTGTAAAAATATCCTCGTGTGATATTAATTAATAAATAAATAAGTGTGACCATGTTGTTACCATAGTCAGTCAGTCAAAGTACAGGCAGCCAATGGCAGGGTGTGGGTTGACTGGCCACTTTGCAGGGCCAGGGTGCATGGGGGCTGTGTGAAGGATGCAGGCTTGCTAGCATCCAGGGGCACCCTGTGGACTACAAGGGGCTCCCCGTGATGTGCAAATGCTGTATCCAGTGTAGGGAGACGGGCCTAATGCAGCCCCCCCTTTAATCCACTCTCCACTAATAAAATATATATATTTTTAAAAAGAATAAATTAGGGAGGCAAGCCTGCTGGCCACTGCTGCCCCATACTCAATTTCCTACTCCAGATTTATTGAACTTGAAGAATTCCAACCCCTCATATGGGTAGGATCCTCAGAAAATGGCAGATCTTATCAACTCTATTTTTTTCCATTCACCATCCAAACTGGGCATACTCACAGGCTATCTTGAACATCCTGCTAATTGCTAATGAAAAGTGGTTAGTTATAGATAACACTGGGGCAATTCCTTTACAGAGCCCAACTGGGACCCAAATGGCAGGGACCATTGAAAGGGCTTAAGAAAGAGTGTCTAAACAAAAGAATCTGATTAGGATACAGGCCATTTGATAGAGACCAAATGAAGACTATTCTGAGTTTTTAGAAAGGATCTCTCTGGCCTATTGAAAGCATACTGATGCTGATCCACAGGGACCAGAAATGTTCAGATGGTAAACATGACTTTAAATATATATGTATATTTTTAATTAATTTCAGAGAGGAAGGGAGAGAGGAAGAGAGAGAGAGAAAAAAAACATTAATGATGAGAGAGAATCATTGATCGGCTGCCTCCTACACTCATCAAACTGGGGATTGGGCCCACAAACCGGGCATGTGCCCTGACCTCAACCTTCTGGTTCATAAGTCAATGTTCAACCACTGAGCCACACCAGCCAGGCTAACCATGACTTTTATTGGGCAAAGTGCACTGGAATTAAGTACTCTCTGTTCTCTTTATCTCTCTTCCTCTGACTTCCATCCCAACTGTGGACTCCCTGTAGGCTAGTATCTACCAACACAGGACAGACCCATCTTCCTTAACCTTTGTTGAATGAATCAATGAAGAGAAATCTTAATAAAACATTTTTAATGAAAATAATGGTAACAATCCATAAAATGGTTACTTACCCTAGAAACAGGGCTAAGTTTTTGTTGCAAGGATGTTTAATCAAGCGTGTTGTCGCAGATGAAGAATACAGGACATTCTGGGCATATAGTTGCAAAACTTAATATTAATAATAAACACTTGATGAAAACAGTATCCTAATGTGCAATATTGAAAATGTAAAGGTGAACTCTGAAGTAAGCAGGTTCACTGTATCAATATCATTTTCCTGTTTTGATATTATACTGTGGTTATGTCACATGTCACTGAGTATAGGGTGCCTGGGATGTTTCGAAACTATTTCTGCAATCTGTGATGAATCTATCATTTCAAAATAAAGAGTGAAAAAAGCCAAGACCGGTTTGGCTCAGTGGATAGAGCGTTGGCCTGCGGACCCAAGGGTCCCGGGTTCGATTCCGCTCAAGGGCATGTACCTTGGTTGCAGCACACACACCCCCCCCCCAGTGTGGGGTGTGCAGGAGGCAGTTGATCGATGATTCTCTCTCATCGATGTTTCTAACTCTCTATCCCTCTCTCTTCCTCTCTGTAAAAACTCAATAAAATATATTTTTAAAAAAATAAAAATAAAGAGTGAAAAGATTCTTAAGCTAATTCATAACACATTTCATTCCACATGTTCTTTTTTTATGTCCAGATTGTTAATTATTAGAGGTGAGAGGACAAATAATTCTAAAGCTAACAGGTTAGAAACCAGCCGCTTTGAGATTATTTAGAAATGCTGTCACCTCTTCACAAATGATGTAATAGCAATAGGTAATTTATTTTAACAAGTGAAATATTTTATCTTCATTCATTTTATTTTTAAATTGAATTTATTAGGGTGACATTGGTTAATAAAATTCATAGCTTTTGGATGTATAATTCTATAATACATCATCTGTATATTGTATTGTGATCTCATTATCCCAATTTCTTCATGTGTTTTAGGTACACGTGTTGTACTATCTGTAATAATAATAGAAGAATACACAAACTGTCCTGGACACTGTCACAGTAACAACCGAACAGCAGGCTGTGTGGGGCAACTAGGCCGGCAGGGGGGTTAGTGAGGGATGATCAAATGACTGAACAGCCGAAACCGGATTGGCTCAATGGATAGAGCGTCGGCTTGGGGACTGAAGGGTCCCGGGTTTGATTCCGGTCAAGGGCATGTACCTTGGTTGCGGGCATATCCCCAGTAGGGGGTGTGCAAGAGGCGGCTGATCGATGACTCTCTCTCATCAATGTTTCTAACTCTCTCTCTCCCTTCCTCTCTGTACAAGATCAATAAAATATATTTTTAAAAATGACTGAACAGCAGGCTGTGTGGGGTGACCAGGCCAGCAGGGGGACAGTTGAGGATGACCAGGCTGGCAGAGGGAGGCAGTAAGGGGTGACTAGGCTGTTGGGGAGGTGGCAGTTAGGAGTGATCAGGTTGGTGGGGCGGAGGCAGTTAAGGGCAATCAGGCTGGCAGGCAGAGGTAGTTAGGAGTGATCAGGCTGGTGTGGGGGAAGAGGGGGCGGCAGTTAAGGGTGATCTGGCAGGCAAGTGAGTTAAGAGCCAGTGGTCCCAGATTGTGAGAGGAATGTCTGATTGCTGGTTTGATCCCCAGGATTGGGCCTAAACCAGCAGTCGGACATTCCCCTAGGAGTTCTGGATTGAAGAGGGTGGAGGCTGAGCTGAGGGGACCCCCTCCCCCTACATGCACAAATTTTGTACATCGGGCCTCTAGTATCATATAAACAAATTTGCTTCCCATGTTATTGCAAATTTTAAAATCTCTTATCAAATAGAACACTGGTGATCTGATTTCTAAACCCACTTCTGTCTCCTGGCTTTATCCAGGTTACTTGGATCTCTACTTTTTTAGTGAAATGGGAAAGATAAATCCTTTATTTCAAAGTGCAATGGTAAAGATTAATGTTGTATATCTAACACAACACGGGCACCACAAAAATACTGGGAAATATTCTGATCTAGTTACTAGATTAAAGCAAATACTGAATATTAAATATGGAGTCACATACCCTTGGAGTTTGATAGCCATCTTTAAGTGTCTTTCCTGTCCTCACTGTGCGAACCCTAGAGGTAAGCAACAAGAGAGACCTTTCTGTCAATGCTTATTGTATGTTCAGCATGACTCACACCAGAAGTACCTGCTCTTGATACTTTTCAGGTTATGGAGCCCTTGGAAAATCTAATTAAACTGGGGGTCCTCCTCTCTCACAGAGACACATGGATGCCCCAAAATGGAGATATTTTCAAGTGCTCATAAAGACCCATTTGCAGACCCCAAATCAGGAAGCTTAAGAATTCCTACTTCAGCTGAAACCAGTTTGGTTCAATGGATATAGCGTCGGCCTGCGGACTGAAAGGTTCCAGCTTCGATTCCGGTCAAGGGCATGTACCTTGGTTGCGGGCACATCCCCAGTAGGGGGTGTGCAAGAGGCAGCTGATCGATGTTTCTCTCTCATCGATGTTTCTAGCTCTCTATCCCTCTCTCTTCTTCTCTGTAAAAAAATCAAATTTTTTTAAAAAGAATTCCTGCCAAAACCGGTTTGGTTCAATGGATATAGCGTCGGCCTGCGGACTGAAAGGTCCCAGCTTCGATTCCGGTCAAGGGCATGTACCTTGGTTGCGGGCACATTCCCCAGTAGGGGGTGTGCAAGAGGCAGCTGATCAATGACTCTCTCTCATCGATGTTTCTAACTCTCTATCTCTCTCCCTTCCTCTCTGTACAAAAATCAATAAAATATATTTTTAAAAAATAATTCCTACTTCATCATTTTTTGTCTTCTTTTTGTATATGTGGAGTATTGGTGGCTGGAAGTATGTTGGTATGGCTCACAGCAGAGGGTCTCAATCTTGGATGTGTGCTGGAAGCACCTAGAGGGCTTGGTAGCCGAAACAGGTTTGGCTCAGTGGATAGAGCGTCGGCCTGCGGATTGAAGGGTCCTGGGTTCGATTCCGGTCAAGGGCATGTACCTTGGTTGAGGGCATATCCCCAGTGGGAGGTGTGCAAGAGGCAGCTGATCGATGTTTCTCTCTCATCGATGTTTCTAGCTCTCTATCCCTCTCTCTTCCTCTCTGTACAAAATCAATAAAATATATATTTTTTAAAATAGAGGGCTTGGTAAACTTTCTATGGCTAGGCCTCACCTGACGATCCAGGGACTTGCAGTTTTAACAAATTCCCAGGTCTTTTCTTTAAAAAATATATATATATTTTATTGACTTTTTACAGAGAGGAAGGGAGAGAGATAGAGAGCTAGAAACGTCGATGAGAGAGAAACATCGACCAGCTGCCTCTTGCACACCCCTTTCTGGGGATATGCCCGCAACCAATGTACATGCCCTTGACCGGAATCGAACCCGGGACCTTTCAGTCCGCAGACCGACGCTCTACCACTGAGCCAAACCGGCTTTGGCAAATTCCCAGGTCTTGCTATTCCTGCTGACCCAGCACCACATTGTGAGAACTCATTCGTATGAGGAAGTCGAAGAGTTAGATGAAATCTTTACAGGCTTTGAAACAAATCCTAATAAATCTTACTGGAAAACCCTACTCTACATGGACTAGTTATGTGTCTTTAGACCTGTGTGTCTTTCATTTCGAGGGGTCTGTTTTCACAACCCTACAACAAGGTTAATGAATCACTAGTAAAGATGAAATGAGGCCAAGCACCAAAGCACACATTCAGCATTTCATCATCAAACAGGGCCCTGCTGAATGTGACAGCTCACTTTTAGCAAGAGCTTCCGGAAGACAGGAACTGGGCTTTATAGCTTCTGTTTAGCTCGTATAGCACCTTGCATAGCCTTCACTGATATAACAGTTACTGAAATCTAATAATGTTCTAGGTATTGATCGAATAAAATAAACATTCTACACTCTTGTGGAGCTATTATTTCTAGTGACAGCAACAGAAGAAAAAAAATTGTCAACAGAAAATAACAAGTTAGTGATTGATAATAAAAGGTAGATGTAAGGAGAGGGGACTTAAATGAGAAAGTATTCTTTAAGTCGGGATTGAGATCTGATGGATGAGGAAAAAGCCATGGAGAAACCTGGAAGCAAAGCATACCATCGGAGGAAATAGTTTGCACCAAGTCTCTCCCACCCCCAAAGCTGAATCTGGTCTGGCGTGTTCAGGGACAGTGTATCCACAGCAGTGACTTCATGGGCAGGGATCAGATTGGTGGTTGTAAAATCCCTAGGATCACTTGGCAACACCTAGAGACATTTTTTATTGATGGGTAAAGCCTGGGGAAGTAGGTACCCCTGGCATCTAGTGGGTGGAGGCCAGGGATGCTTCTCAACATCCAACAGTGCACAGGGCGGTCCCACCTCAGAGAATGATCAAGCACTACATATCAGCTGCACTGCTGTTGAGAAACCTGGGGCCAGATCATGCGAGGAAATTCAGGCTGCCCAAAGAACTCGGGTTTTATTCCGGGTGTCACAGAGAACCAGAGAAGGGGAATGACGAGATCCTAATTAGTTTATCAATTCCTCTGGCTGCCTGCGTGAGTGATGGATAGGAAGGCACAGTCTAGGGTGGTGGCCGCGGAAGTGGCTTGAAGGGTTGGAACAGTCCAAAGTTTCGAAGTGGCAACAAGAGGACTTGGGGATGGACTGGATAGATTAGAATGGGGTGAGAGAAGGGGAGGAATCATGTTTGATTTCTAGAAGAGTAAACTGGGAAACCTCCATCCTTCCGGGATTCCGCCCAGGCCTCCACTCAGAGGAGTCAACCTTCCTTCCCGATCCCTGACAGCACCCCAAACCCGGAAGGGCGGCCGCACCGGCACAGCGGCTGAGCTCCAGCCCGCGAGCAGAGCCCCAAGGACGCTATGGCGACTAGCATCAACACCAGCATCAGGTTAGAGGCACCGCCGCCGCCGCCGCCGCCGCCACCACCACCGTCTTCAACCGCCGCAGTGTTGCTTCACAGTCTGGGCATGCGCAGAAGAGGGCCTGAGCACGGCGTCGGGTGCCGCGAGGGGTCCTGAGCATGCGCACCTTGACTCCTGGAAAGCCTAAATCCACCCACCTCAACACGCCCCCTTCAGGAACCTGACACGCCCATGCAGGCACACACGCATGCGCTCAGTGGCGTCTGAGCATGCGCGCGTTGTCCTCGGAAACGGTCCCGAGAGCTTGGGCGTGCGCACGGCGTCGTGGGTGCGCGTTGACAGCTTCAGCTTGAGCGCAGTGTCTCCCGAGGAAGTTCGAATTCACCCACCAGGAGCCTGAGCATGCGCCCATCACTCGCACGCCCTGTCAGCGCCCACGTGTGCACGAGGCTCTCCACACGTTCCCGAAGGTTCACTTTCAGCCACAGCTGGTCCTTTTCCTGCGGTGAAAGCGCGTGCTCACCTCCACGTGACCCGAAGAGGCCTGGGAGGTGCCAGCTGGGTGGCTGGAAGAGGTGGATTTGTGGAGGGACCTTGAACCCCGCCCCCTCTCCAGGCCCCGCCTCCACTTTCTTCCAAGCCTCAGTCGGCTCAATTCTTCTTTCCGGGACCCCGCCCCGCAGGCACCGGAGCACGCTCCCGACGTCACGTGCGCGGCGGCCCTGTGAGCGGAAATGACGCAAGCCGCGTGCGCCGCTAGGATGGCCGGGCCATGGCGACGGGCACAGGCTACGTGCGGCTGTGGGGCGCTGCGCGGTGTTGGGCGCTGCGGCGGCCACTGCTGGCTGTCGCCGGGGGGAGGGTCCAAACTGCGGCCGGAGCGTGGTTGCCCAGAGGCCGGCGGGCCTGCGACGCCTCTCCTCCGTGGGCGCTTTGGGGCCGTGGCCCCACGGCTGCGGGTCAGTGGCGGGGTCTTTGGGAGGCTAACAGCCGCGGCGGTGGCGGCGGCGGATTCTCGGGTGGCGAGGATGCCCCGGAGGGCGGCGTGGAGGATGGCGCCGCCGGCGCGGGGGGCAGCGCGGGCGGCGGGGAAGGCCCCGTTATAACGGCTCTGACACCCATGACCATCCCGGAGGTGTTCCCTCACCTGCCACTCATCGCCGTCACCCGCAACCCGGTGTTCCCGCGCTTTATCAAGATTATCGAGGTAATGAGATCTCCTACGTGGTCCTCCGTCTCCCCTCCTCTGCAAGCAATGAGTTGGGCCGAGAGAAAGTTGAGCACCCTCATTTATCGACAGTGTTTTAGACACGAAGTTTATCAAAGGCAGGAGTCGGAATTTTGTCTGCTTGTCACTCACTAGCTTGGTGAACTGGAGTCAAATTCCTCCTCTAGGATCTCTTAAGGGGAGTTGAACCCAAGGAGCTTAGGACCGTGCACTTAGCGTGCAATCATAGGAATCCTGCTCCGAGAAGAACCAGAAAAGCAATCTTGCGGCCAGTAACTTTTCGGCAGGTGTTGGTAAATGTTTTGTAACCCGGTCTCCCCAGAGTGGCCTTTCTGGTTATGAGCCCCTTTGGGATCAAGACTAATTCCTTTCTTAAACAAGTATTTCTCGGTCATGTGCCAAGATCAGTTCTAGCTGTTATGGGTACAGCAGTGAACAAGACAAATATTCCTGCCTTTGGAGCTCACATTTTAGTGAGAAGCAAGAAGTATTATAATTAACAAGATTAGTAAGTAAAGTATGTACTGGAAGATAAGAAGTACTACAGGGAGTAACAGAGCAAGGATCTGAGGAGGAAGGTGGGAGGGGAATCTTCTCCGAGGGGTGTATCTATGTATGTTTTTTTCACTCAACTGAGTCTTCTTAACCCCCTACCATGTCGCCAGCACTGAGGTACAGCTGAGGTTGTAATGGAAAGAGGCAGGAAACAAGGTCGTTTCAGACTAAGAAACCTAAAGGGAGGGTTGGGTGGGGAACTAGGGTGATGTAATAGAGAGAAATCATTGTGAGTGCAAGGAACTCGCATTTTTAGAGTAGGAAGGACACAAATACCTCCCTCCCCCACCCCACTCCTTTTTAAATGATGTGGAAACTGGAGTCTATGGAGGAGAAAGGTTATCTTTAACTGTCTAAGCAAGGTCATACAATGAGTCAACCTCTGTATTCACCCTCCAGCTTCTCCCCCTCACCCCAGTTTCTGCTAAGTAAATCTCAGGGATGCCTTGGAAAGGAACAAAACAGAGGGGCACAGCCAGCCAGCAAGGAGGGGACATAAGAGGCCCCTCCCCCCTCCACCTCCTGTTTTGCACTGCTGATTATGTTTGCCTGAGCTGCTCTCCCAAGGGCCTTCCTTTATGTTGAGTAGTGGTTATTTGGAGGCCCCCGGGTAAGATCCTGTAGCTGACTCCAACAACCCTAGTTCTGTAACGTTGGGCAAGTGGTTCCTCTGGGCCTTCATTTTCTCATCTGTACAATGGACATAATAGTGTCTTCTGTCTTAGAGTGGTTGTGGGAAGTAAGGGAGGTCCTGTAAGGAATCTAGAATGGTGCCTGTTGCTTAGTATGCCTCAGCAGTAAGCAGCTGCGCCTGCTGTTTTTTTAGGTGGGGCTTTCAGACATTTCAGAGCCTGCCTTGGAGACCTCTTTCCCCTCTTTGACCACCATCTCTACCCTACCAGGCCTCTGGGGCCAGGACCCTAAGTTAAGAGCTGCTGTTAGAGTTAAAACACTGCTTCTCAAATTTTGGGGATTGGACCAGCAGCATCACCTGGGAGCTTGTTTAGAATGCAAATTCTCAGGCCCTCTATATTTCCTGCATCAGAAACTACGTACACCACAGATTGAGAGCCATTAAGTTTAGGCAATCTGGTCTGGGAATTAACGCAGGCTTGAAAGAAATCATTTGAACCCTAAAAGACATTTGTGCACCTCTCCTTTCCCTCCCCCCATCAACTGTTTCCTAGGAAACAGCATTAGCCCTCTACCTGTCGCCAAAATGACATCAAGAGAATGTGCTATGATCCTGGGGGTTTCAGTGATCAATAAGTAGGGTAAAGATGTGATTGGGAAATACTTTCAGTGAAAATTAAAGGATGTCATCATCCTATGGGGTGGGCCACATTTTAATTACACACATTTAGTGTAGTTCTTCTGACTCTGATGAAATCAGTAAAGTTTAGACTGAAACAGCTCTTGACATTGAATCAGTTGCTTAGCTCTGGCCATTTGTCTACTTTGAGTTTTCTTTAGGAAGGGCGAGAACCACTGAGGAGTGCAGTTGTTCACCCCTGTACCACTCTCTTTTCGTAAATCTGTCCTTTGTTTGTTTTTGGTTCGGGGGTTCCTGGACTAAGTTGGTTAGTGACCTGGATCAGATTAGCATGTCCCCAGAGAATAATATATGAATTGTTAGAGCTGCTATCAAAATGTCAGCTAGAAAACCTACCCTGCATTTCACTTTGGGGTCATTGTCATGCTAGGTTAAAAATAAGAAGTTGGTTGAGCTGCTAAGAAGGAAAGTCCGTCTTGCCCAGCCATATGCCGGCGTCTTTCTAAAGAGAGATGACACGTAAGTGTGATTTTTCCTTCACTCCTTTGCTGAAGTCGCCCTGGAGTGTAGCTCACCACCCGTTCTCCCTAAAGTAGCCTGGACCTCTGACCCTTGACCTGAAAGAAACAGAGTAGAGCCTACAGGGTGCTCAGCCTAGAGCCAAGCATTCTTTTATAGCCTGGATTGGCTTACAGTGCTGGGCTATAGTCAAGATATTGGGGGGGGGGATTTTAGCCTCGAGGACCCTTGGTGTTAAAACACGCACACCTGCAAGGCCGCTTCAGCACAGAGCGAAGGGGGCAGATATCACTGCTTTGGATATGTCCATCTTGACTCCAGGCAGAAATTAGCTCCACTTCCAAGTGAGAAGTCTAAGGTGTCCTGAGTAGGCTCTGTCCTGGGATTTTGGAATGGAATGAAATTCCATCCAGGATGCCTCGTGGCCAGTGCAGTTAGCAGTACCTTAGCTGGCAGGTACTTTACTGGGCTCCAGAGCCCCTGTGGGAGCAAGGAGGTCACTGTTGGTTTCCAGTCCAGGCCAGTTGAGTTTTTCATCTCTCCTTCCTCCAACCTAGCCTGAGACACTCCATGGGAATTAGAGAGCCTGTGCTAATGTTCCTTTGTGTCTCTCTCCCTCAGTAACGAGTCCGACGTGGTCGAGAGCTTGGACGAGATCTACCACACAGGAACATTTGTCCAGATCCATGAGATGCAGGACCTTGGGGACAAGCTACGCATGATTGTCATGGGACACAGAAGGTTCGGGGGTCTGTGGGACACTGTTGGGAGGGTGGTTCTGAGTACCCCTATGCCCCAGCACTGACACACCCTTCTCAGTCATCCCTGCAGCCTGTTCACTTCAGTGACCACACCAAAGCTGGAGATGGAGGCTAAGATATGTTACCTCTGGAACCTTCCTTCTCAGAGTTCCTTTGTTAAAGTGGCAGTATGGGTGGTCAGTGAGAAGTCGTTTCTTTAATGCACGTTATTTAAAAAAGCATCACAAAAACAGAAAGTAACAAGTTGCCTCATGTGTCCGCTGTTCACAGCTGGGCTTGCTTTTCCTTCAAGTGCTGTGTCTGCATCTTCCTGCAGATAATGCTGTATTGTCATTCTTTGTAATTTGCAGTTTTTCACTCAGACACCCTTCTTTGTCGGTCCATGGAATTTTTAATTGTCAAAGGACTGCATATATGTATAAGTCCAGTTTAAGCCATTGTAAATACCACGATTTAAAAAATCTGCAAGGTCAGCTTAGGGTTGAAGCTCTCGCTAGAGGAACTAACCAGCTTTTCACATGTGTTCCAAGGAACGTTGTGCCTGTGAGATGCCTCACAAGAGTACTGTGACCAAATACACATGAGAACATGTCAGAGTACAAGCTGATAATGTGTAGTGAAGATACAGTGAATGTTCTGAAAAGCCCCTCATTGGAGATACTTGACAGCATTTTTTGAATTCAGAGT